CTTTCCAGTTTAAAGAGATACCTTCCTGCGCTGGGGCGACGATTTATAGATTTTTTAAAGATCTGTTTTATTTGTTATATTTAAAAAAATTCCATTAATTGTTAATGCGGAGCTGCCATTTTTTTCTGAATTAATTTTCACGCTACGCGCGCATCGATAACAAGATAGAGTTATGTCATGACTGACAGTATCAAATTGGCGATTGGAGCACTGCTATTGGTGAATTGCTTACGCTAACGCTTGTAGCATAAGAGTTAATTATCTTTCTTAAATGGTCATTCACTGATCCAATTAAGCTATACAATATTACATAGCATAACGTGACATGAATATTAATTAGAACATTTGTAAGATTTAGATCCAGATTTTCACATGTACAATGGATAAAGAAATATTCCAAGAACTTATGGGACTTCTTTCTGCTTACAATTAATTCAGGGGGGTTTCAAGAGTTTTATATACTTATTTTACTATTGAAAATTATTATGTTTATAGTTTATATTTTATAATTTAGGTTTGAAACAATAACAGAAATATTCATTGTATTTTTAATTAGTTTATTTGTAATTTGTTGCCATTAGAATTATTTCAATTATTTTTAATTCATTGTATGTTTAATTGTTTAAGTTCGCAACATTCATAATAAAAGATCGCTGTTCAGGGCCGCACAAATCCTCTCGCTAATTTCTCAAACAGATTCAAAGTCCAAGCCTGAATATAAGACTTTTCTGGAAATTCCATCGACAACTTGTACGATTGAGTTTATATTTATTTTCAGTTTATATTTATTTTAACAACATAAAAAATCTGTCACATTGAAATAGCATCAGAAATTACAAACTAGCATAAACAATTCATATCGCCATCACGAGTTTTGTCCCGCAGCAGCCACGTAAATATTACATAAATTCTCGTTCGTCAAATGCATTATGATCATCTCACAGATCTCAAGCGGTAGACGTTTGTGAATAAGATCCCAGAAAGGGTACAACGCGATTGCACGGAAAAATCCTCTCGACAGTTTCTCGCACAGATGCACAGCACAAGTATCCAGATGATTTCCACCGGGCTTCCGATGTTCCCATCGGAGTAACCTAAATTCTCTCGAGCGCGCCAAAACCAAGTAGTCGGAGTACGTGAGTCGTCTCGACGCCTCCTCGGGTCGCAGCTGGATCAGGTCGTGGAGCGACAGGTCCGATTTTACCCTTATCTCCTTCGCTCTGCTCGCAAACTTCTCGTCATCGTACCAACTTTTTTCAAGATCCACCGACTTCTCGAACAATTTTCGCTTGGCGAACAATTTCGAGATCTGCAGGACGTCGTCTCGGACCAATTTGTATCCTCTTTTCTCCAGGCGCTCGAAAACCGCCAGAGTGCCAGATGCTAGTCTCAATTTGAAATTGCAGTCAGGACAATAGCTCTCTGTAAAGTCCCCGGTGGTCCTCTCGGTTGGAAAAACGAAGCTCGACAAATCAGCACCACGATCCAAAAGTACGTCGATGGCGTGAGGTAAAAAATTCGACGCAGCCAATTGAAGCGGTGTACGATTATCGTTGTCGAGGGCATCGATTTGCACTGTTTGCTGTGTGTCATCGATGGCCTTGAAGAATATGTCTATCATGTCATCGTCGACTGTTCTCTCGCAAATAACATGCAGAGCTGACGATCCGTTAAATGACCGCGACAGATTCGGATCCGCACCTCGACTCAGCAGCAATGGGATCATTTCCTTTCTATCGTAGCTCAGAGACCAGAAAAGCGGCGGGGGAACTTTGGTCTGCGCAAGGCAATTGGGGTCCTGACCCAGTTCCAAGAACTTCTCGACCACGTCGACGCAGCCGACCTCGCAGGCCACATGGAAATGCGTGATTTCACAATCGTCGATATAGTTGACATCAAATCTGTTATAAATTTTGAACAGATTTTCGACGATTTCCTTATCGCCTCCATCAACCTGATAATGCAACGGTGTGGTGCGACGCAACACAAGCTTGCCCTCTTCGTCTACCTGTGGCTGGTCCTCGTAGCAGCCGCTGCGAGCCACAAACTCGACGAATTGGAATAATACTTCATAGAAATCAGAATCATTAATTGTAAGTGCCATTAGAATTTTTTCAATTTCTTCGGGACGAAATGTATCTCGGAGATCCGGTAGTTGATCCCTCGTAAGCCACTGCCAATCTTCGATTAAAGGGTCAAGTTTGTCGTAAATAAAATTCTTTCGCTCTCTATAGATATCCCAATTGACTTTTTCATACGCACTCTTCAAATTTTTTAATGTTTCTGGGTTAGGAATATTCACTCTTCGTTCTTGGTCAAGAAGATCCAATTCTTCGAACTCGTCGTTCATATTAATCGTATTGCGCGCACTCACAACAAACACACTCAAGCGATCTCGTATAATTTGAGATAATTTTTATTTTTTTCACCAAAATCACTCTGCTACCATGTGATCTTTTTTGTAGTATACGCGGTGATGTACTGAATGTACTGACTACTTACTACTGACTCTTATTGCTGCGACATAGTGGCGGCCCCCAAAAGTTTGACCTCGTTTTAAGATCACGTAGCAAGTAATTTATAACACAATTTTTAGTATTATGATGAAAATATCAATCAGGTGTAGTATGAACAAATTTTACTATCATAAAATAAAAAAAAAATTTCAACTATTTCGATTTATTTAAATTTTAGGAATGCTGGGTTGGTTATTGGTACTTTTACCTTAAATCTCAGTTTTTCTAATGGAAGAGTGATCTCAAAAACATCACTCATAATGAGCGCGAAATTCAAGTTCGTGTAAAAATTTAAATTAAAATATTAATTGTAAAAATTGTTTTTTTGTATTTATTATAATAAGATTATGAGTGCTATTTTAAAATTGTGTATGTGAATCCAAAGAAAATTATTTAAACTTTTTAATAATGTCATGAATTGTGCCTTATATAGAAAATAAATGAGCAGATTGCATGTGTACTCATATCAGTCGGAATAAAGGTAACATAAAAAGTAAAACAGATAATTTTATAATAATTAACATACCCACATAGAAAAAATGTTCAAGTTTCATGTATAAAATATATACATCATCATATATACATTTTTATACAATAATCTGGTTTAACTTTATAATTAATCTTTTATATTAATCAAATCTTAAATATGCTTTTTATTAAAATAATAAAAACTTTGTCACAATTGCAAATAGGCCATATGTTTTAGAAATAATAAATATTTTTAAAATTTATATGTACGTACCATGAATTATATTGTACCTGACATAATTATTACATCCAATACAAATTTTTTCTTATATTTATTACTTCTATTTATTATGTTATTTAATATCTATGTTTTCTATCAGTACATAAAGTAGATTATTATCATTTTATTGAAAATACTTTTATTACCTTTGTCTTCATCATTAAAGAATCTTTAAAATATATATGGGCTATTCCACAAGAGTTGTTGCAGGCAAAAAATGAATCTATACCCTGATATTGTATGCTCATAGAACACACAAAAAAGTAAAATGTCACAAAGCCAGAGACCTCTACTACTACTTATATACATGTAAATATGGTACTTGATGTTTTACCATGAGTAAACAGTTTATGTGTACTTATTAAGGTATAAGAAAGTACAAAATTTCACCAAAGTCAAGTTTCAGATATGGTTTGACTGTATTATTAAGAGGAATAAGGTTTTATTCATCTCATTTCTCGCTTTAGTGAAAATCTATGTGTTATAATGAAGATTCAGTCGTTAAATTCATGTGAAAGCTGTGTTTTATTATTTACTTATTTTTTCAGAGTAACGAGTAGCTTATGGAAGAATATATCAATTTCTAAAGTTCATCGTTGAGCCTGTGAGGAGGCTAATCAAAGAGACCGAAAGGTCTCTGGCTTAGTGAAATTTCACCTTTTTGTGAGCTCTATGAGCATAAAATATCAGGGCAAAGATTAATGCCCAATTAATTGCTAAAAGGTTAAAAACAATTTTTTCAAATTAATTTTATAACAAAAGGATTTATAAATTTTTTACATTTATGCTTTGTAATGTACATTGGATTCTGTTTGTCTTGAACTTTTGTGGTGCTTTGGTTTAATGCACACTCAATACTATTATTGACTTTGATTTTTAACAAGGGAATGAGAGGTGGATCAAAACAATTTCGATTAAAACACTGAAGGTAATAATCGTATAGAAGAGAATGCTTTTGTTCTATGTGACAAAAGTAGTGCTATAAATGCCTGAATTAAATAAAATAATAAGATTACTACAATAAGTCAATTCAATGAAAACATCTCCTTATTGTACACTAAATTAATTCCATAATTAAATCATAAACTATAAAACAATAACAGGCTCAAGCAGTACTCAGTACAGACTCTTTAAGCTGGAATAAAATGTGGCTTTAGAAGTATTTTACTGCAAAAATAATGTTATTTTCCACTCAAGTCACAAAAATCAAATCAAATAATTTTTAATTCACTGAACTGAGGAACAACAGGGAATATAACTTTTGTACTTTCAACTTATTAATTTAATAATTGCCTCGAGCCATAAGCATTATTTTTTTTGTTTTTACTCTCTGGATTCTAATAATCAGAGTTGCATAGAACAAACTCAGATCAAAATTTATGGTAGCAGTCCTTCAAATTCTCGTTCAGCATCAGTCATTATGTTCGTCACGCGACGAACGGTGTTTCTGTGCAACGTCAAACGTGCATTAGTAACTCACCGGCCTCACCGCGCAGCAGCACATTGCTTCAGTAGTCGGTTTAGTTTCTCCGTCCGGTACAACTGTTGCTGCAAGAAGGTAAGAATAATAGTGTCTTTTAGCCATTATTATTATTTCTTATAATTTCCATTCACCAATATAGACGTCCTTTGTGTTTGATAACAATGTTCACGTCCAAATTCTTTTTAATTTTGCTCTTGCAAAGACAAGGTACTTTTGACTGTATGTACAACTCGTAGTCCATGCTGTGTATCTAACCAAATAAAACGAATTTTTTCTTTTTTCTTGTTGAACAATGATTTCGTTATAGTGATTGATAAAACTTGTACAATTTTCTTTATTCTATGCTTATTAGTTGAAATTGAAAACATTTTTTACAGTTTTCACCATAGATACACATGGTTTTTTGACAGCACTGGCATATAACCTTACATTTCTAGTATCTACTGTACGGTATATTTCAGACACTCTTTGCATTTCCCTTTACTGTTTTTAAACAACTAGGAGCATTTAACATTGCAGGAACATTAAGTAAATATTGTCACATTATTTTTCAGTCATAAAATGGCTCCAAGGAGAGACAAGAAAGTCAAAGAGGAGGTTCAGGTTTCCTTGGGACCTCAAGTACGTGAAGGAGAAGATGTGTTTGGTGTTGCACACATCTTTGCTTCCTTCAATGACACATTTGTTCATGTCACTGATGTTTCAGGAAGGTATGTATAAATCATTGTCATTGTACTTTCATTGATCATCATTGTATCATCAAAACTAATGATTATTTTTCTCATTTGCAGTGAAACGATAGTGCGTGTCACTGGTGGCATGAAGGTCAAAGCTGATCGTGATGAGGCCAGTCCTTACGCCGCTATGTTGGCAGCTCAAGTGAGTTTCATTTTTTGTAATACCTATACTTCAATTAAATTAATTGATCAATGCAGGAGAATCAAATGCGATACCAATATCTTCAATATCTAATATATTCAAATATTATTAGGATGTTGCTGAAAAATGCAAATCTTTGGGCTTCACTGCTTTACACATCAAATTGAGGGCAACTGGCGGAAACCGCACCAAGACCCCAGGTCCTGGAGCTCAGTCAGCCCTGAGAGCTCTTGCTCGTTCAGGAATGAAAATTGGAAGAATTGAAGATGTAACACCTATCCCATCAGACTCGACGCGCAGGAAAGGAGGTCGTCGTGGTCGTCGTCTGTAGATGTTATGCTATCATATAAGTTCAATAATTTTACGTATATTTTTATCATAATAAAAAAGGTTGAAAAAATGTATGTCGTTGTAGATTTTTTCAACTGCAATTAGCGCGAATCATTTTTACTTTTATGTTCCATCCGTAATAATTTGGTTTCGTAAACAAACAAAACTTGATTGGAATTAAAATTGATCAGCTTAACTAATCGGTCACACAAATAACAGTTATGAGTATACTTGGAATTATAACTATCAAATCTTATTTTAAAAAGTAGCATCAACTTTAAACAAATTGAATAAAGACGATTGTATTGGAAATAATGATTGATTTTTTTTTCAACTTCAATCAAAGGTTTTTATATAGAAAGATAATCATGAGAAAATTGTTAATGTCAGTGGCTCAGTCAGTGTAAATAACTTCAGAAATAATACATGTATACTAGTGAAATAAGAATTCTTCTGGATTCAGATAGTCTGCATATAATTAAAAAGACTGTAGTATGTTTGTGTGCTAGAATGAGCTGAAGTGCATAAAATAAAATATATTTAAAATCTTGAAAAATTAAGGATATCACAGTTAGTATTCAGCGTCAAAAAACAATTTATACACTCAATTTCTCGCTTTATGTTATTTTATTTTTTATGAAATACAGCATCCAGAAATTCGGATCACACGATATCTTGCATTGTTACGCCGTGCAAATTCCAACGTCTAATTTTCTTTTGGAAGCACATCGTAATACGTACATACCAATGACCCCTGCAAACAGAAGCGACGCAGCATTGCAGGCTAATTGAAATTCGAGCTTTAATTACTTTTTCGCGGAGTAGACCGTCGTTGCACGCATATACACCTTCGCGACCGAGGACGAGAATTTCGCTACTTTAGTCAAGGTCCGATAAGAAACTTACCTCCCTCGAGACAGCTTTAAGGGGCTGCGGTAGGAGGGGCACTTCTTCCTATTTCTATACATTGCATGAGAGCTAAACTCGGGCAAGAGAAAAGGAGAGTTTGAGTTGGTCGACAGGAAATTGGGATTCGCAGAGGAAATGCGAATCTCGTGCTGTGTATGTGTGTGAGTGTGCACAGACCCGTACTACCGATTGTGGTCTTATTCCATGGCAAAGATAGCTAGAGCAAAGATGTAGTTTCACGATACGAGATTAATTGTCCGACCCTTCGATCGATATAATGCGTTTTTGCCAATTATACCATCTGATACCATCGTTGCAGCTATATACTGTATAAATCCATTTGGTTTTCGATTGCATTAATTTTTTTCTTATTCGAGCAGTTCCTAAGAAATCTGTCAGCCGAATACCATAAATTTTTAAAGACAAAAGATGCTTTATACTTCTTACACCTTACAAGGGTTGCTTATTTTGATTCACCTCGTTAAAAGTGCATTTCGTGGAATGAAAAGAAAAGAAAACGAGACGCTCGCAAAATATTAGTCATGGATTTATCATAACAACGAACGCGACAAACGAAGCCGAAACTAGCTTCGATCCAAAATCCAATTGTTGTCATCGAATATTGCAAGCACCGCTGAAAATGAATCTGAAAACCGATTACAGCTCTTCTCTAAGAAATTTTAGACGATCCCGTCTAGCGCGCGGGACAACGGGGTTTTTCGCGTCATCAGATCTCGAAGCAACTACGTCGATCTTTATAATTGCTTGCGTAATTCTTAGCATAGCGCCACCGAGATCAAAGATGAATATTTTTTAAATTAATAAATATAGGTATCTTCGTAGGAATTAGAACTTTGCTATTATTTTTTTTTTGTAAATAAAACAGAAATAAATTTAAGCAGAAAAATGAACAATTTATTATTATTTGCTTCAATTTTTTCAAAAAATTTATTTCTTTCGAATGGTAGGTAAAATATTTAACATTAAACAACACCAAACGTAACAAAATCGTTCAAATATGTTTATCAGCCGCCATTACGAATTTTTCATTGCAGCCGCCAAGCAAATATTGAATAAATCCTCGTTCCTCAAATGCTGAATGATCATGGCGCAGCACTCGATCGACAGCCTCCGGTGTATCAATTCCCGGAGAGGCGCCACGGCCCAACGCCGGAAAAATCCTCTCGACATCGTCTCGCACAGACGGGCGACACAAGCCTCCTGATACCTGTCAATGAGGTAGCACGAGCGCGAGCGCGCGAACTCAAAGACGTCCTTGGGCGTGACTCGTTTTTCCGCCTCTTCGCGCGGACCCTGGATCAAGTCATACAGCGACGCTCGCGGACTTATCATTATTTTTTTCGCTCTGTTCTCGGCCCACTCGGAGTCGTGGCGATATCTTGCGAAATCCGTCGACTTCTCGAACGATCGGAGCTTGCGAAACAACGCCATGATCGCCGTGACGTCGCTTCGCTTCAATTCGTATCCTCGATTTTGCAAAAGCTCGACGACGATCAGAGCCCCGGACGCCAGTCTCGTGCGCAGATCGACATTACCGTCCGTCAATGTGAATCGCTCGTCGAAGAACCTCAGCCCGGTCGGGAACTGAAATCTCGCTAAATCTGCGCCGCGGCTCAGCAGCAGATCGACCGCTTGCGGCGCGCAACTCGCCACGGCCCAGTGCAGCGCCGTCCGACCCCTACCGTCTACCGCGTCTAGCCGCACGTCGTTCGTCGCCTCGAGGAACCACTTGGCCCAGTCGCTCTCGATTCTGTTGGCGCAGATCACGTGCAGAGTAGTCTCACCGGCGGCGTTGGTCAAATTTGGATCGGCGCGCCTCTTGAGCAGCAGCTCGGCCAGTCGCCTGTGGCCGCCCAGCACGGCCAGATGCAGCGGCGGATCGATGATCGCGCACGAGCTGCGCAGATCCGGATCCTGGCCGAGCTCGAGGAATTTCCAGGCTACGACGACGCAGCCGTACTTGCAGGCTATGTGAAAGTGCGTCAAGCCCGATGCAGGGTCCACGTAGTTCGCGTCGAATCTGTCGTAGATCCGGAAGAGCTCGCGCACCACTACGTCTCGGTTGGGCAAGTGATCGCTTTGGGCCGCGCGGTGCACCGCCGTCGTGCGACTCAGCAGCGGCTTGCCGTCCTCGTCGACTCGGGGCTCGTCGTCCCTGTAGCCGGTGCGAGCCACGAACTTGACGAATCGTTCGCCCGGACTGTCGCCGATGCTGCTGCTGCAGTCGTCCATGGCGCTGTCCACGGTTCTGTTGTCCGCCACGCACCTCCACAGTAGCCAGTCGATCTGCTCGGGCCGAAAGATGTCACGCAGCTTCGGTAATTGGCCGACCCAGTGGCCGAACACGGCCTCGAGCTCGCGGAAAAATCGGTCGCGCTGCTCGGCGTCGTCCCAGCCGTCGTCGGCGAGCAGCTCGTCGCGCAGCCGGTGCAGCTTCGCCAGGTCGGGCTGGCCGTGACGAAGCGTGCGCAGGTAATGGAAGGGCTGGTCGCGACCCACGCCCAGGAAACTCAACGGCTCGAATTGGCCGTTGAAAAACATCGCGCGATTATCTAATCGCGGCCACGATATCACTTAACTGTATAATACTTCGGAGACACGAGAATCACTTGTGCACGGCTGGCTTCGTTATGTGGTATCTCGCGTAACGACGTGTACACTTTATACTACGCGGCGATACAATGGCCAACGGTACGCAAAGCCAAGAGTACGCGGATTGCTCGCGGACTCGTATACGCTTTCTAATCGTTATGTACCCGAAATCGGAGCGACTCCGATATATTTTTTTTTTTTTTACATGTCATTCGGCCCGCGTCGACTCGCACATGCGCGACGACAGATAAATAGAGAGAGACAGAGACTGTGTATTACGGCTACGTTTCAATTAGGCTGCTTTCACCTAATTTCGATTCGTTCCATAGAGCCACGGAGGGACCGATGCGAGGCGCGGGCCTTTGCGCATCGACCGTAACGACTCCGAATCGACATCTGCTTATAGTTTAGCTTATGTAAGGTATGTGCCTTAAATTTGATGAGTTTTCAGAGTTGGTACTTACGCTAGTAACATCATATAGATCTCAGAACATAGAAAAGACTCTGCAAGAGTGTAATGAGCGAACGAGGCAACGGCGCAGGCTGGGGCCTATATCGTGGGTGCAGTTGCCATGTCTACGCGTGTACCCTCTGTAAATGATGTAGCCATAATCGTAAATGAAACTTTATGATATTTTATTATATTTTTAATAATGATTCAGTACAAATAATTGAAATAAATGGCGCACAAATGTGGAATTTTAAACGGTACGTGATACAACAAGACGTATTAATTGTTTTTATTGTACAAATTTACATTTTTTTTCAATTTTCACAGAGTATTTGCAAATTGACGCATTTATTTAGAATATACATTTGAATGATTCTTTCGATAATCGATTCTCCACTAAGGCCTCCAATTGAATGTAAAAAAAAAATATTTACCTTGAAGTGGTCGGAGTATCAACTTTTGGGGTCGCTATAAGTTTATTACTAATATTTTGAAATGAAAACCCCGACCTCCTGGAGTATTATTATAATAAAATGATTTATTACATGCATAAATTAACGAGAATGTATTCAATTCAATTCTGCTGAAGCAAATTTCACTGCATTTTTAAAGGCTTCTTGTGATAAACCTGTACATAAAGAGGCACAAGCGGCTTCGATTTCTTCGTCCGTAAAAGCTCTTACATCTTCTTCCGATGAGACTTCCTCTTTCTCCGTTTCTTCTGGTACAGGAAAAAATGTAACATGCATCTTATCACTATAGACTTCAATAATTTTTGCTGGCCAGAAATACGATTTGAACCTTTTCGCCAACACCACCTCATTGGGAGAGTAACGGGAAAGAAATCCCTGGTCTACTGGTATTGGTACTACTGAAGTAGGGTCCACATGTTCCAATAGCATATCTAGCATAGGTTGAAGGGTTTCCTCGTCATCAATGGTCACATTTATTGGATGATCTTCGATTAGATTTATCATGTTGGTTGATAATTCATCTTTATTGCTTATTCTGAAAATTAAATTGAATTTCTTCAGTATAAAATTGGATCAGACATTTTTTAAGTAATTACTCACATTAATCCCTGGTCTACTACCAATGACATATCTTGTACTAATGGCATAACTGTCATAGGTGGAAGGGTCTCCTCGTCGTTGGTGATCACATTTATTGGATGATCTTCGATTGGACTTATCGTATTTGTCCCTGGTTTATCAGCAAAGAGAGCTTCATTACTTCTACTAAAAATTAAATAAAATTCTCGAGAATAAAATTGGATCAATCATCTTTAACATATTTACTTACATCAATTGAATCGACGCATTTTTTATATATTCGATCTCCTCAGAATCAATATCGATATTTTGTAAATATAAACGAATCGTTTCCAGATTTCTACTTCGACACCAAAAAAAAGATCTAGCCGATTTAGCTAAGGCTTCATTGACTTTATTTTCTTTAGGAATACCACAGAGTTCTTTATATAATGCGGTGGCCTTAGAGATATTGCCGTCATAAATCTTTTTGTACTCTTCATAATCTTGTCCAGGAAAAAGAGCATATTCAACGCATACGACAGTTAATATCCCACGATTTATTCGATAAAGATTAGTTACTGTCAAGTACTCAATTGTAAGATTAATAATCGTTTTTTTAAACTCTTCTAATTGTAATTTTGAAGGTGGTCTGTTGGGGAATTTTTTCATTCCCTCGCGTAGTATATCTATTAAAATTTTTTCGTTCTCTATATCTTCTTCTTTTACTTCTTTGTTCTCTAAATAATTCACCAAATTAATAAGAGCATCTGCGTTTCCTTTTTTTTGAAAATATTCTCGATTCACAATATATCTTTCCCATGGAACAGTTTCAGCAGTTTTCTTATTATTACTGGAAATTAAATTAAATTTTTTTAGACTATATAATTGTAGCAGGCATTTCCAATATATTGACTTACATAAATTCAATCGACGCTTTCATTATATAGATCATTTCTTCTATATTAATATTAACTGTTTTCAAATAAGATCGAACCGTTTCCAAGAATGTCTTATTATTAGTAAACAACCTGCTCCTAAAAAAAGAAGTAGTTGATTTAACTATAACAGGGTCGAGTTCATCTTCTGTTGTGAAACCACAATGTTCACGCAGTTTTTTATACAGATTGGGTGCCTGATCATCGCAGCATCTATATATTGTTCTATGTTTTCTATGGTCTTCTCCGGGGTATAAGACATGTTCAACACAAGCGACGGCCAATATACCACGATTTATTCGATATAGATTAGTTTTCTTCAATTCATCAATTTTAAAAAAACAAAGAGCTTCTTTCAAGGCATTAATATCTTTTGTCGTAAGGGATATTTTCTTTCCCATTCCTTTGAGTATTATATCCTTCAAAATATCTTTATTATCTAAATTTTCTTCCGTAATTTCATTTTTATTTAAATAATCTACTAAATGTATAATATAAACTGCAGTACTTTTTTGACGGAAATACTCTTCTGTCATTAATCTTCCCCGCATTTTTTTTCTTTTGTCAAATGCTCTGATACTGATGAAACTTTATATTTAAAACTATTGAACGTTGGATGGTTATTATAGATATTTAATTTTGAATAGATTAATTAATGTTACAATCTGATGTGTAAGACATTCGAGAACAATCGCTTTACTGTCAATACTAACAGACCCATAAATTTATGCTTTGCTCCAGATCAATGTTGTGTTTCTTCGCTCACACACATTAATAAATAAACATCGCCAGAAGAATAAATATACCAAAACATAATTTTTACGTTCTTCTTGTCATATTAGTAAATTTTATATATTAAGCAATTCAATTTATAACAACATTTTTTATTAACTATAACGCACCTGTGTAATTCACGGTCAAAAAACAGCGGATTACCGATGCAAAAACCACACCAGTCTTAGACTTCTAACAGCGTCCAGGTGATCCGCGTAGTCAGCATCTGAATAACTTTATTATTTGCACTCATGCCGTTTCTCATGCTTAAAAATGATCATTGTATATTACCGCGAAGACTGCTCAGAGCTTTTTAATACCTTCGAGGGTTATCTGCTATATGTTTGTGAAGAAAACAACTCGAAAAATTTACAGTAAATATTAAGTTGAGTCTAGATACCTAGTTATACTGAATATATAATATTGCTATATTGTATACTACTAAGTATACACTCAAAAAATTGACAATATTTCAAAATTATTGAAGACCAACTTTTGATTTTTTTGTACTTTTGGAAACCATGTTGAGGGACAGCAGCTCAACTAAATTTAGCTAACTGCGTTGAGTTGTGTGAGCCCAAAAATATAGTTCTCACAACTAAATGTTGTATCGTTGATAAAATATTAAAAACTTTGAACTGTCAGATGTTGCTATGTTCATTTTAATGAACATTCCGGTTACGCTCACTTACAAACGCATTATATTGACGTGACGCGACGCAGTTCACGTTTGTTGTCATAGAAAAATATGAATCGAGCTGTATCAGCTCAAAAAATTGCTTGGTCAGAACTACACTTCGGATCGAACTTTAAAAAAAAGAACTTTTTTGTAAAACGACTTTCTTTTAAAAGGTATTGTCCTAAATAATAGCATGTTTAGATGTCAGAGTACGGATATCTTCGGGGTGGCTCATTCGATTGTTTTTCGTTGTTTTTCGTGCACAAGATCCGCATCTTATAATTCAATTTATTTATTTCACATTAAATTTTGAAAAACATAACAGATAATCATCTCTTTTAGTTATTATGCCAAAGAAACTGTATTTGTTTCAATTATTTACCGCAGTCCGCTCGCGACTTTGTAACGTCTCTCTCCAGTTGATCGAAGCGTCACTCCGCGCTGTTCAAGTTCGCACGAGTCGGCGGTCGCTCGCTCAAACGGCAACGGTCATATTGCCAGTTGCCGCTACGCCGCAGTCCAAGCAACAAAGGAAGATCGCATCGACCGCAGCGAGTGATTGAAAGTGAAAAATACTTCATATTCCATACAAGTGCGAAAAAAAACAATGGCTAACAACGAATTCGACGTATATTGCGTCAAGGGCGGCGGTGGCGGTGCCGGAGGCCGATACGACTACAATTCCGAGATCGCGAATTATTACGAGATAATCTCGAATCTACGAAAAATGAAGTGTATGCAGGAGATGGTCGTTCACGAGATGAACGATGGAAATCAAGAGGACTTTCACGATAGACTGATTTCCTTGATAAGCGATTGGCGGGGCCGGTATCCGGATCTGCGCAAGATGTTCCGTCCCAAGGAGGTGGACTGGCTCCTCACCGAGTGCATGGACTACGACAACTACGAAAAGTTGCTGAACTTCGTGATCGAGTCGGGCTACAGAGACCAGGCCGAGACCGGAGCGGACGGCGAGCCGCTGTTCCATCGCGTCACGCCGATTCATCGCGCGATCGAGTGCGACTACGACGACTTTGTGAGCCAGCTCTTCGAGATATACGAGGTTTGCGAGGTTAATTACGTGGACGAGCGAGGCTTAACTCACTTTCACGCGGCCTGCGCGTACGACTGCGACAACGTCGTCGAGAGATTCCTCGAGCGAGGCAGGGTCGATGTCAATCTAATATGGCGAGTTACGGGCGAGTCTCCGCTGCACATGGCTCTGTCCTGGTCGTCGGGTAGCGAAAAAGTGGCCGAGCTGTTGCTGAGACACGGCGCCGATCCCAATTTGGCGGACGACGCGGGATCGACGCCTCTGCACGTCATCAGCGAGAGATGGCACGACGAGCACGAATTGTTGAAACTGTTTTTCCGGATCAACGACGATCGAAATCAAAGCGTACACGTGGACGCTCGAGGCGCGTCGGGTAACACGCCGTTGCACGTGGCCCTGAAGGAAAGCAACGCGAAGGTGGCCGAGCTGCTGCTGCGACGAGGCGCCGATCCGAGCTTGGCCAACGACGAAGGATCGACTGCTCTGCACTTCATCTGCTCGCGCAATTCCGATTGCCGCGTATTGGCGGAGACATTTTTCAAGATCAACGCGGAACTCGATCGGCCCGCGGTGTGCATCGATGCCCGAGACAAGCTGGGCAACACTCCGTTGCACCGGGCTGTGTTTCGGGGCCACGAGCGATTGACCGAGTTGCTTCTGAGAAGAGACGCCGACCCAACACTGACCAACGACGAAGGACTGACGCCCCTGCATATCGTTTGCAAGAGAGAAGGCAAGGACGACGGTTTGGCGGAGAGATTCTTCGAAGTCATCGGTGACCTGGGGAAGCAGGTGCGAGTCGATGCCAAGGACAATTCGGGCTACACGCCGCTGCAATGGGCCGTGGCGAATTTCCTACCGGACACCGTCGACGCGCTCGTGGATCGTGGCGCCGATCTCCAGAGCTTCGTCTTTCCCGCTGCGAGTCGATTCGACGCCGATTCGAAAGAGAGCTGCCTTTCGATCTCGGATAAGTTGAAATTGGCGCACGACACTCGAGCCATGGTCGAGCGCTTGGAAAGAAGGGGATACGCGCTGGACCGAAGCGACGTCGCGACGATCCTGAACGCCTTCGATAAGCACGAATTTTTCAAAATTTCAGAGGATCTCGACGAACGTTGGTACGAAGACGAGAAATTCGTGAAAACGGGAAAATATTTCGAGATAAAGCCGAACTTGACTCTGTACGACCTCGTTCGTTTAAGACCCGAAGCGGCGGAAAAACTCATCAGCTACGAGGAGATTTCCAAGTTTCTGCGCTCGAACAATTTTTACGGGTGCGTCGCGTGGAAAAATCGCGATGCCTGCGACGCGCGCCTGTGCGCGATAATAACGAGACGATTGTACCGCGGATGGGCGCTGGATCCGATGATGGATTTGACGCGCCGCAAGTTGCCGATTCTCTGCTGCGACATGATTATCGAGGGCCTGAGTAACGAGGATTTACGAAGCATCTGCTTGGCGGCTACGGGACGAGACTAGTGATGCGTCGATTAAAGGATATTTATTGTGTGTTTCATGTCTATTTTTATGCAAGTTTCATCGATTACATCGTTAATAAACAAATTTTCTGGAAATCGATAGTCGTTCATATTCTTTCTGATTAAAAAACTGTCCTCTCGATTTTTTTGTGATCCAATTTAGTAATAGTCCAGGCCCCAGCTTCTTTGAAGACAATTTTTCTTACTCAACGTTCTTGCACATTTCCATGTGGAAAATTACTCACTGAACTGATTCGAATGTTGCAAGACCCTAAAAACTTCGACGATGGCAATTTGCTGGTCGTCGTCGCCGAGGTGCACCAAATCGTTACAGCCGAACACTTGGAATTATTCATTGTTTAAGACGCTTTGCAGCACCGGGTATCAGCATCAATTGGTGCAATGGATGTTTCATTATATTTCAAATATCGGTAAATTGGATCGATGAGCAAATTGTACGAAATGTCAGCCGAAAACTCTCCGGGGAACTGAATTTCTTTGTTCGGTGTGAAACGCTCCGGAGAGCCTTTAAGTTCAGAAGTTCTCTTCGATAGTCCAGTAGTCACTTTCATTTCTATTATTGATTGATTTTTTTTTTCTTGAATTATACTCAACTTTTTTTAAAACTTTTCCATGCAAAAAAGATGAAAATTTTACATTTTCATCTACCTTGCGCGTTCGTGTTCTTCCCATCGGCTCTATATATGTAGCATACGTAATCGGCAAGGGCATTGTCACACATTTATAGAGCTCGACACTCGCGCTACGCGTAGTCCGGAGCAATTCGTTTGTTTCTGTGCGAAGGGAAAAAAATTCGCGCTTCCTCTCTCGCTCGAGAGGAATTAAAACTTCGGTTTGAATCTTTTCTATTTTTCCGGGTTTTCGTTGCGAGTCGCGAGCTTGCAACATTTTACAGGTGGGAGAGAAAGACTGGAAAAAAAAATAAAGAAATTCGTACTCGGCGTGTGTATTTCGTGAAAAAATGTATGAGTACGCAAGGCGTGTGTTGTGAGGGAATGTAAACGTCGATGAGCTCGTATTATATGCAGCCGCATAGATGCGAAGCTCGCATATATACGCACATACCCACGACCTTTCCAGGAGGTCGGATAAATTTCAATTTTCACTCGACTTTGTACAAACATACACACACACGCATATAACGCACCATATGCTATATAGTAGCACATCACGGTCTAGCTCCGAATTTACACGCGCAATAGCGTGCGCGCCTGCGAGCTCGAGTTAAAATTTTAATCTGCGCCTCGAATCTCGTGTGCACTGGTCATATATGGTTGATTCTCCTGAAATCTGCTTTTTGCATGTCTTTATGCCATATTCTTAAACTAGTGAAGATGAGCCAAAACTGGCTCGGTCATTCATTCAATATTGTTGTATTCTTCATGATAGGACATAAATATTTCAATTTTTTAGGGTCAGTTAAATTTGCCGTGAAGATATACATGCCAAATGTCACCTCCGTGGCATGTCTACATCTCAAAATCAACTCTATTTGCATGTACCATGCATTCTCATTAGCACCTGACCCTATAATAACTATGAGACCAGCTTCTATACATCCAGAGTAAAGTTTAAGTCTATTATAGGGCTTTGAAAAATGTTTTAAAAAAATTTCCCACGCAATTGAAAAATGTCTCGGATTTTAATCATGCTTCTGAATAATTTCAAACATACCGCCTGCTTTGGGTCGCTAACTCATTTTTGATGTCGCTAGATACGTAAATGTCAAGTATTATAGCCCAGCTTTCGATTGGTGTAGGTTGCGGGTTCAAATTTTACATTTTATCGATGCTGCGATAATTATTCTATTGAAAAATTCACGTGTGTCAAAAAAACGGTCACCTCCGTGGACATGAATATCTCGAGCTATGATCATTCTTTTTAACCGCTCGCCCCGTCAAAAGACTCGTTTTTCATGACCAAATTTCGGGTTGTGCGGAAAATTTTGTGCGTTTCTTATTTTTCTTACATAGTTGATCAAAGCAGCGATTTGTCACCTCCGTGTGTGTCACCTCCGTAACCGAAAATAGTCGATTTTAAGCATAAAATCGGACATAGTTTTCGTAAAACGAAATCTCAAAGCCCCAGATTCAATAATTATTCATATTTTATGGTTTAAAAAAGGGTAAACTAGTTCGCGCCGTTCAATATGACAAAAAAATTTTCACCATTTTTTCGTTTTCCATACCCGAAAAAGCAGATTTCGGGAGAATCAACCATGTAAGGTATGTGCCTTAAATTTGATGAGTTTTCGGAGTTGGTAGTTACGCTAGTAACATCATATAGATCTCAGAACATAGAAAAGACTCTGCAAGAGTGTAATGAGCGAACGAGGCAACGGCGCATTTTTAATAATGATTCAGTACAAATAATTGAAATAAATGGCGCACAAATGTGGAATTTTAAACGGTACGTGATACAACAAGACGTATTAATTTTTTTTATTGTACAAATTTACATTTTTTTTTCAATTTTCACAGAGTATTTGCAAATTGACGCATTTATTTAGAATATACATTTGAATGATTCTTTCGATAATCGATTCTCCACTAAGGCCTCCAATTGAATGTAAAAAAAAATATTTTCCTTGAAGTGGTCGGAGTATCAACTTTTGGGGTCGCTATAAGTTTATCACTAATATTTTGAAATGAAAACCCCGACCTCCTGGAGTATTATTATAATAAAATGATTTATTACATGCATAAATTAACGAGAATGTATTCAATTCAATTCTGCTGAAGCAAATTTCACTGCATTTTTAAAGGCTTCTTGTGATAAACCTGTACATAAAGAGGCACAAGCGGCTTCGATTTCTTCGTCCGTAAAAGCTCTTACATCTTCTTCCGATGAGACTTCCTCTTTCTCCGTTTCTTCTGGTACAGGAAAAAATGTAACATGCATCTTATCACTATAGACTTCAATAATTTTTGCTGGCCAGAAATACGATTTGAACCTTTTCGCCAACACCACCTCATTGGGAGAGTAACGGGAAAGAAATCCCTGGTCTACTGGTATTGGTACAACTGAAGAAGGGTCCACATGTTCCAATGGCATATCTGGGATAGGTGGAAGGGTCTCCTCGTCGTTGGTGGTCACATTTATTGCATGATCTTCGATTGGACTTATCGTATTTGTCCCTGGTTTATCAGCTTCATTACCTCTACTAAAAATTAAATAAAATTCTCGAGAATAAAATTGGATCAATCATCTTTAACATATTTACTCACATTAATTCAATCGAAGCATTTTTTATATATTCGATCTCCTCAGAATCAATATCGATATTTTGTAAATATAAACGAATCATTTCTAGATTTCTATTTGTACAGTAAAAAAAAGATCTCGCCGACTTAGCTAAGGCTTCATTGACTTTATTTTCTTTAGGAATACCACAGAGTTCTTTATATAATGCGGTGGCCTTAGAGATATTGCCGTCATAAATCTTTTTGTACTCTTCATAATCTTGTCCAGGAAAAAGAGCATATTCAACGCATACGACAGTTAATATCCCACGATTTATTCGATAAAGATTAGTTACTGTCAAGTACTCAATTGTAAGATTAATAATCGTTTTTTTAAACTCTTCTAATTGTCTTTTTGAAGGTGGTCTGTTGGGGAATTTTTTCATTCCCTCGCGTAGTATATCTATTAAAATTTTTTCGTTCTCTATATCTTCTTCTTTTACTTCTTTGTTCTCTAAATAATTCACCAAATTAATAAGAGCATCTGCGTTTCCTTTTTTTTGAAAATATTCTCGATTCACAACATATCTTTCCCATGGAACAATGTTAACAGTTTCAGCAGTTTTCTTATTATTACTAGAAATTAAATTAAATTTTAGAATATATAATTGTAGCAAGCATTTCCAATATATTGACTTACATAAATTCAATCGACGCTTTCATTATATAGATCATTTCTTCTATATTAATATTAACTGTTTTCAAATAAGATCGAACCGTTTCCAAGAATGTCTTATTATTAGCAAACAAGTTGCTCCTAAAAAAAGAAGTAGTTGATTTAACTATAACAGGGTCGAGTTCATCTTCTGTTGTGAAACCACAATGTTCACGCAGTTTTTTATATAGATTGGGTGCCTGATCATCGCCGCATCTATATATTGTTCTATGTTTTCTATGGTCTTCTCCGGGGTATAAGACATGTTCAACACAAGCGACGGCCAATATACCACGATTTATTCGATATAGATTAGTTTTCTTCAATTCATCAATTTTAAAAAAACAAAGAGCTTCTTTCAAGGCATTAATATCTTTTGTCCCAAAGCCTGATTTCTTTCCGATTCCTTTGCGTATTATATCCTTCAAAATATCTTTATTATCTAAATCTTCTTGCGTAATTTTATTTTTATTCAAATAATCTACTAAACGTATAATATAAACTGCAGCATATCTTTGACGGAAACACTCTTCTGTCATTAATCTTCCCGGCATTTTTTTCTTTTGTCAAATGCTCTGATACTGATGAAACTTTATATTTAAAACTATTGGACGTTGGATGGTTATTATAGATATTTAATTTTGAATAGATTAATTAATGTTACAATCTGATGTGTAAGACATTCGAGAACAATCGGTTTACTGTCAATACTAACAGACCCATAAATTTATGCTTTGCTCCAGATCAATGTTGTGTTTCTTCGCTCACACACATTAATAAATAAACATCGCCAGAAGAATAAATATACCAAAACATAATTTTTACGTTCTTCTTGTCATATTAGTAAATTTTATATATTAAGCAATTCTATTTATAACAACATTTTTTATTAACTAAAAAAATTGCGTTGTCAGAACTACACTTCGGATCGAGCTTTAAAAAAAGAACTTTTTTGTAAAACGACTTTCTTTTAAAAGGTATTGTCCTAAATAATAACATGTTTAGATGTCGGAGTACGGATATCTTCGGGGTGGCTCATTCGATTGTTTTTCGTTGTTTTTCGTGCACAAGATCCGCATCTTATAATTCAATTTATTCATTTCACATTAAATTTTGAAATACACAACAGATAATCATCTCTTTTAGTTATTATGCCAAAGAAACTGTATTTGTTTCAATTATTTACCGCAGTCCGCTCGCGACTTTGTAACGTCTCTCTCCAGTTGATCGAAGCGTCACTCCGCGCTGTTCAAGTTCGCACGAGTCGGCGGTCGCTCGCTCAAACGGCAACGGTCATATTGCCAGTTGCCGCTACGCCGCAGTCCAAGCAACAAAGGAAGATCGCATCGACCGCAGCGAGTGATTGAAAGTGAAAAATACTTCATATTCCATACAAGTGCGAAAAAAAAAACAATGGCTAACAACGAATTCGACGTATATTGCGTCAAGGGCGGCGGCGGCGGCGCCGGACGCCGGTACGACTACAATTCCGAGATCGCGAATTATTACGAGGTAATCTCGAATCTACGAAAAATGAAGTGTATGCAGGAGATGGTCGTTCACGAGATGAACGATGGAAATCAAGAGGACTTTCACGAGAGACTGATTTCCTTGATAAGCGATTGGCGGGGCCGGTATCCGGATCTGCGCAAGATGTTCCGTCCCAAGGAGGTGGACTGGCTCCTCACCGAGTGCATGGACTACGACAACTACGAAAAGTTGCTGAACTTCGTGATCGAGTCGGGCTACAGAGACCAGGCCGAGACCGGAGCGGACGGCGAGCCGCTGTTCCATCGCGTCACGCCGATTCATCACGCGGTCGAGTGCGACTACGACGACTTTGTGAGCCAGCTCTTCGAGATATACGAGGTTTGCGAGGTTAATTACGTGGACGAGCGAGGCTTAACTCACTTTCACGCGGCCTGCGCGTACGACTGCGACAACGTCGTCGAGAGATTCCTCGAGCGAGGCAGGGTCGATGTCAATCTAATATGGCGAGTTACGGGCGAGTCTCCGCTGCACATGGCTCTGTCCCGGTCGTCGGGACGCGAAAGAGTGGCCGAGCTGTTGCTGAGACACGGCGCCGATCCCAATTTGGCGGACGACGCGGGATCGACGCCTCTGCACGTCGTCAGCGGGAGGTGGCACGACGAGCACGAATTGTTGAAACTGTTTTTCCGGATCAACGACGATCGAAATCAAACCGTACACGTGGACGCTCGAAGCAAGGCAGGTAACACGCCGTTGCACGTGGCCCTGAAGGAAAGCAACGCGAAGGTGGCCGAGCTGCTGCTGCGACGAGGCGCCGATCCGAGCTTGGCCAACGACGAAGGATCGACTGCTCTGCACTTCATCTGCTCGCGCAATTCCGATTGCCGCGTATTGGCGGAGACATTTTTCAAGATCAACGCGGAACTCGATCGGCCCGCGGTGTGCATCGATGCCCGAGACAAGCTGGGCAACACTCCGTTGCACCGGGCTGTGTTTCGGGGCCACGAGCGATTGACCGAGTTGCTTCTGAGGAGAGACGCCGACCCAACACTGACCAACGACGAAGGACTGACGCCTCTGCATATCGTTTGCAAGAGAGAAGGCAAGGACGACGGTTTGGCGGTGAGATTCTTCGAAGTCATCGGTGACCTGGGAAAGCAGGTGCGAATCGATGCCAAGGACAATTCGGGCTACACGCCGCTGCAATGGGCCGTGGCGAATTTCCTACCGGACACTGTCGACGCGCTCGTGGATCGTGGCGCCGATCTCGCGAGCTTCGTCTTTCCCGCTGCGAGTCGATTCGACGTTGATTCGAAAAAGAGCTGCCTTTCGATCTCGGATAAATTGAAATTGGCGCACGACACTCGAGGCATGGTCGAGCGCTTGGAAAGAAGGGGATACGTGCTGGACCGAAGCGACGTCGTGACGATCGCCAACGCCTTCGATAAGCACGAATTTTTTAAGATCCCCGCGGATCTCGAGGAGCGTTGGTACAAAGACAAGAAATTCGTGGAAACAGGAAAATATCTCGAGATAAAGCCCAACGTGACTCTGTACGATCTGGTTCGTTTAAGACCCGAAGCGGCGGAAAAACTCATCAGCTACGAGGAGATTTCTAAGTTTCTGCGCAAGAACAATTTCTACAGGTGCATCGCGCGGAAAGATCTCGAGGCGTGCGATGCGCACTTGTGCGCGATAATAACGAGACGATTGTACCGCGGATGGGCACTGGATCCGCTGGTGGATTTGACGCGACACAAGTTGCCGATTCTCTGCTGCGATATGATTATCGAGGGTCTGAGTAACGAGGATTTACGAAGCATCTGCTTGGCGGCTGCTGGACAAGACTCGTGATGTGTCGATTAAAGGATATTTGTTGTGTGTTTCGTGTCTATATTTATGCAAGTTTCATCGATTAAATCGTTAATAAACAAATTTTCTGGAAATTGATAGTCGTTCCTATTCTTTCTGATTAAAAAACTGTCCTCTCGATTTTTTTGTGATCCAATTTAGTAATAGTTTAGGCTCCAGCTTCTCTGAGGACAATTTTTCTTATTCAATGTTCTTGCACATATCCATGTGGAATTGTTGGAAGACCCTGAAAACTTCGACGAGGTCAATTGCGTGCTCTTGAGCTTGTTTGCCAGGGACTACTTCGGCTGTCGTGGTTCCATCGCTTGACTTGCTGGTCGTCGCCGAGGTTTCACCAAATCGTTACAGCCGAATATCTATAGAACCACTCATTGTTTAAGATGCTTTGCAGCAAGAGTATCAGCACCAATTGTTGCAACAGATGTTTCATTATATGTCAAACATCGGTCCATTGGATCGATGAGCCAATTCAACGGAATGTCAGCCGTAAACTCTCCGGGGAACTGAATTTCTTCGTTCGTTGTGAAACACTCCAGAGAGCCTATAAGTTCAGAAGTTCTCGTCGATAGTCCAGTAGTCACTTTCATTTCTATCGTTGATTGATTTTTTCTTGAATTATACGCAACTTTTTTTAAAACTTTTCCATGCAAAAAAGATGAACATTTTACATATTTATCTACCTTGCAGTCGGCTTTACGTAGTACGTAATCGGCAAGGGCACGTCGTAGCCACAGTGTATCTCTCGTGTCTGGCGTTGCATTGAAATTGTCACACATTTATAGAGCTCGACACTCGCGCTACGCGTAGTCCAAAGTAATTTGTTTATTTCTGTGCGAAGGTAAAAAAATTCGTGCTTCCTCTCTCGCTCGAGAGGAATTAAAAATTCAGCTTGAATCTTTTCTATTTTTCCGGGTTTTCGTTGCGAGTCGCGAGCTTGCAACATTTTACAGGTGGGAGAGAAAGACTGGAAAAAAAAGGAATTTGTGCTCGGCATGTGTATTTCGTGTAAAATGTAGGAGTACGCGATGCGTGTGTTGTAAGGGACGTAACGCAGTGCGTGGTATGTAAAAAACGTCGATGAGCTCGTATTATACGCAGCCGCATAGATGCGAAGCTCGCATATATACGCACATACCCACGACCTTTCCAGGAGGTCGGATAAATTTCAATTTTCACTCGACTTTGTACAAACATACACACACACGCATATAACGCACCATATGCTATATAGCAGCACATCACGGTCTAGCTCCGAATTTACACGCGCAATAGCGTGCGCGCCTGCGAGCTCGAGTTAAAATTTTAATCTGCGCCTCGAATCTCGTGTGCACTGGTCATATACGTACTATATAGGTATTAATGTGTGTGCGGGGGTGTGTGTGCGCGCGCGTACGAAACGATAAGCTCGAATTACTTTATTCATCGTAGTTCGGTGCGGTGGTACATTTGGTACGTTTATATATATACGCCAGCGGGTCCGCGTAACTGTACATAATACGCAGTACTCTATCCCATTTTACTTTTTTTTTTTTTTCGCGCGAACGTTGAAAAAAAATACCCGCGCGAAACGAGGCGGCGAGTCGTACGCGCTAAACTTTAAAAACCAGCTCGTACAACTCGGAGAGAGTCACGGTGCGAGAAAAAAAAAAAGATATTTCAACATTTTTATTCGAGTTCGGTCCGTGTGTGCTACACGATGACACGATATGCGTAAAAATGATATTGTATTCGGATTAGTATGCATTCAAAGTCTATTATGGACGTTGAAATTACGAGCGCATATGTTTGCGACGTCCGTGCAGGCGATCGGATGCCGAGTGTATATTTACCGCATAACGAGCGATAACGTAGGTAGTCGTTGCATCGACGCGATTTTTGCTATGCTTTCAGAGCTTGACGTAGGCGCCACTCGTCGGGGGAAACATTTTTCCTTTGAAATATCGATGCAGCGAGATGAATTTTCATTCTTGTCAGCGGAAGATGAGTTAATGACATTGAAACGATTCTCAAAACGAGCTGTGAAACTTATTGTCGGAAAGACAAGTCGCATTAATTTTGTGAATATGCATGTATTTATTAGTCGAAAAAAACATATTCGAACGACTTTTGAAGCGGTTCGTATAGGAAAGTTTACCGAACGCGTCGAATTTGTCAAAAAGATGACGTCGTTGTTGAGTCGAGTGGTTATACACACCCACTTTTTTACATCGGTAATGTTTTTATTATTATTTTGCCACTTTTTTTTTATCTAAGAACACGTCATTTCTCGTCCTCGAACTCCAAATCCTGCGAAAAATCAACGCGACTCGTTAGATCTCGTATTATGACGTACGGAATGATTTTGCAGAATGTTCCTTTTCGTTTTATCTTCTTCTGTTTGCGTTACATATATGCTTACCAAATTTTGCGGATCTCTACTCAGCTGAGATCTGGGATTGATTTGAATGATTTATTTCGATCAAACGAATCGCGAGAGTCCAAAGAGCAACCCGAATTCATCGTGTAAATATTCGTACTCGCGTATCAGGGTACAAGATACGTATACAAACGACAGCATTCGATCACTTCTCTTCCGCGCATATGCGACGCGTATTATATGTACACGCGGGGGACACGACACGCAGTTCGCCCAAAAAGCATCTTGCCCAAAAATTTCAGTCTACTTTCTTGCGTACGCGCACACACATAGGCTCGTAATCGTTTCGCAGCAGCTCTTCTTATATATGTAGGTCGCGCGCATTTGAAAAATAAACATCTGCCGCTGTGTACGCGTAGCATCATCGCGGCGTAATTGTTATACGGTATGTACAGTGCGCGGAGATAGAAGAAAGATCGTATATGTGGAAATTATTCATACGCGACTTTCCTTTCGTATGAATGACGAGATCGATCAATTGCATTTATACATAGAAAGGCGAGAGATTTTCATTTACTGTGATCGCGCAGATCAGAGCTTTTAATTGGCAGTCATGCTCGTTAACTCGACATCGCTTCAGAGCTCAATGGGTAAGCTCTCGTTTTTTATTCGCTTTATCATTATTATTATTAATATTATTGCTGCTGCTGCTGTGTAGAGAAAAAAATTGGCACTGGAACCATATTTCGATTACTCGTATATATCTCCGTATCGCCGTGGCCGTGAGAGCGAGAGCAAATAACATGCACTATATACGAGCGTATTATTGACTCTTGTCGAAACTAGCATCCACCGGCGAGCGAGCGGACGGACGAGTCAGACAGACAGAGAGGCTCAATAAAGACGGGCCGATTATGTGTGCCCCAAGATGCGTGGCCGTCTTCGCAAATGGCACATGTATACACGCTTTATTGTATCGTGATAAGTCTCGTGAGTGCAGATGCGCGCGGGTGTATTATACGTATATATAGCAGTCGAGGCGCGGCGTACCTCGGATACAACATCGTGATCGACGCATTCGGTTTGGTTTGTGTACAGTTTTGAATTTTTTGGCTGCGCCCGACGAGACTGAAATAATTGGGATCGATGCGTGGAATCGGAAGGATTGATACGAAACGCAAAATACGAGTGTAACAAGTGAGTGATCTCTTGCAATGCACGTTTACTCGGACTCTTTCTCTTCTATTTTCCCCCCGTAGCTCGTAATTTATTTTACAGTGAATCTGTCGGCGACTCCGTAATTGCATTAGAAAAACGTGACGATAAATAATAAGAAAATTAACCCGACTTGAGCAGTCGCACGCGTACATTAACGTAAAAATAATAATATAAGAACGCGAAAACTCGGCATCTGTGTGCTGTATCGACCTCGAACGAGCGAAAGAACGTATATACACATAATTGTAGTAAACAAAGTAGCGCACGGCGCATCTTGAGTTCATGTGTTTTTTTTTCTCTCCGTCTCTGTATCATTTACTCACTTCAGAGAAAGAGAGATAGGACAAAGATGTCAAATTGTCAATTTTGCAGGCTGATGTTTTCCTGCTCGTTACCCAACCAGCGGTATAAGCAGCTGGTGTGTGTGTGTATCATCATCGTATCGTTGCATTCTCAAACGAGCGAGAGAAGAAGAAGCAAAAAAAAAATTCATACGATCGCGCCGAATAATTCATTCATATACGCGATACATCGCGCAGCGCGCCGGGGTCTATACACAACAATATCGTATCCGCATTATATACAACGAGCGTCATCGCGTATACATAGTGTGTACTGTGTATATATAATGTGATAGATCTCAAGTCTCGAGTCGTCGCTCATTCAGCATCGTATACATCCACAATATCGCATACGTATCAAAGCTGCATAATAAGGCACACATGATACGCCGCATAAGTTACGCGCGGATCGTATACGTGTAATGAAATTACGACCCGATCGCGCAATTACAATTGTGCGCGTATATAATTTGAATTAGCTATTTATGCGAGAGAAGCGTGTGCGAGCGCTGAAAAAATAAAGACGAAATATAAGAACGTATATATTATCGCGTCGATCCGGGTGCGAGTGTATGAATGGAGGGTGATTCCCGCACGGTACGTATAATATCCTTATCTTGGCTCGGCCAAATATTTGACTGTACGTTTCAAGGTCTGCTCCTCCCCGTTCTCTCACGCTCTGAGTTTCCTCTTTCAGCACCTTCCAAAAATGAAATTGCTCTGGCTTTTGTCAAACGATAATACCTTTGGTTCAGGCTCTCTCTCTCTTTTTACGCGCGAACGAATCTTTTTCGCAGTCGGTTAGCTTTAATTTCTACGGACCGATATTGATCCTCCTGAGTAACAAGTGAGCGTGCACGTTTATAAGAAAAATATATTAGGAAAGATATTGAAAATATGTAAGAAAAAAAAATTGAGAATAATTATTGCTACTTCAAAATGTCCAAATAATACGAATATTTGACGAATTTAATTGTTTTTATGGTCACAACAGCGTTGCATACTTATTTTTATTATAATTTTTGCTTGAAATTATATGATTGACATAAAGGTTTCATCGATTCGTCTCGGTGATTGGTCATTGGAATTGGTAGTGCAGTCATTTTTACAAGATTCGATAAACGGAGTTCTTCGCAAATGCATGGATTAACATTGATTGAAAAAATTAATTCCAAAGAATTTTACATAATACCGTCTATAGATAAATCAACCCTGAGTGAAGGTGCATGATACGTCCTTTAATTATGAAATAGTTTTATTATGATGAAAAATGAGAAATTCTTTGAGGTTTTCGCATAAGATACTCCGTTGCAAATCATTCCTCGAACTTATGAATGATGAGTCGTTCTCGTAACCGTTGTGGACTGACGTTTGATGGGTGAGCAACTTTGATTTTTCTCGAAATTTCATCTCGCAATGGTCACATTCGTAATCTTTGCGACCTTCGTAATCTGTTTCTTCATGGCTATTCAATTTCGATGGATCACTATTTTCAGAAATATCATCCTGGCGACCTTCATGGACTGTATTTTGATGTTTTTTCAAATTACTTTGATTTCCAAATTTTGTTTCACACTTGTCACACGAGTAATCTTTCCGACCTTCATGAACCGTTTTTTGGTGTTTGAGCAAATGCGGTTTTTGGGCAAATTTCTTCTCGCATATGTCACAAACGTAATGTTTGCGACCATCGTGTACTGTCTGTTGGTGTCTGATCAAATCTGACTTTTTCCCAAATTTCTTCTCGCACTTGTCGCATGCAAAATCTTTACGACCTTCGTGGACCATCCTCTGGTGTTTTAATAAATCTGATTTAGTTCCAAATTTCTTCTCGCAATGGTGGCATGCGAAATCTTTACGACCTTCGTGAACTGTTTTTTTGTGGAGAAGTAAATACGAATTTACCCCGAATTTCTTCTCGCACTTGTCGCATGCATAATCTTTGCGACCTTCATGTACTGTTCTTTGGTGCTTTGACAAATCTGATTTAGTACCAAATTTCTTCTCGCACTTTTCGCATACGTGATCTTTCCGACCTTCGTGGACAGTCTTTTGATGCCGAACCAAAATCCATTTTCGTCCAAATTTCTTCTCGCACTTGTTGCATACAAAATCTTTCCGACCTTCGTGTACTGTCTTTTGATGGTGGAGGAAATTAGGTGTTTCAGTCAATTTCTTCTCGCTATTGTCGCATGTGTAATTTTTTCCAGCTTCGAGTAATGTCTTTTGGTGATAAGGCAAATTTGATTTTTGTCCATACTTCCCCATGCCCTTGTCGCTTGTGGTATCTTCAGGCCCCTCCTCGTGCTCACAATCTTTTTGCATATCGTGAATTATGTCACTGTTGCGACTCATGATTGATTTCTTTTCACGATTATCTTTTAAAAAAATTCCTCAAACTTATTTTCCGCCGACGGAACGACAATGTTACTTTCGCTCGATCTATTTGTTTTCCTTTGGATCTCTTTTCACATGTACCTCAATTTGCCTCAGTTAATCTAGCGATCGTTCAGTTCAAGATGAAATTTGAACGAATAAAATATACGTAGAATATTACGTAGGGTATCATCGACGAAAGCAACACTTGAACTAATTTAATCGTCAATTAAAATGTCCAGTAATTAGAAAGCTACGTCTCAATTGCTCGTTACTATTGTTTACATTTTGACACAGATTACTCTATTTACATATTGCTCGATCATCTTTCAATGGCCCTACATTGCTCATAAACAAATTTTCTGCGTAATGATAGTCTCTGATTCATTCTGATTAAAAATTCGTTCTCTCGATTTTGTTGTTTCAATCTAACAATATAGTCTAGCAACAAAATTGCGTCGTCGGCTCTTGCTCTCGTATTTGGCCCCTCGGCCTCTCTCTCTTCTCTTGCTTTCCGTTCGTATACCTCGGAAAATCTCGACATCCCCAAAACGTGCGACCGCGAAATGACTTTCCTGCGTATTAAACAGCTATTATCGTAAGTGCACATTGTAATCGATCGATCGATCGGATCCATCGAGATCTCTTCGTTCACAGGCGGCACAATAATATCGTTATCGAGTATCGGCGCGAATGTGCACGCGTTAAAATATTCACCGATCGAAACGCATTCGTATATAAATGTACAATGTTTAAAGCCGATAAATCGGCGCTGAGAGCTATCGGACGCGCTACATTGATGATAATAATAATAATAATCATCATCGAAGTATGCGTATGTGCAACAGATACATTCTCGCTTCCAGCTGCGTGTATACATGTTTACAATTATAATATTGTGTATGCATCTTATCTTACGGACAGCTAATTGTCTATCGACGCGGCCAATCCGACTCCGTGTGTATATAAGTATACATAATCGTATCGAGCTTCCAAGGCACGCTCGTGTCATGTTTTCCTTTTTTTTTATTTTTTTTTTTTATGCATAAAGATTCCTCTCTCTAGCTCTCTCTCTCTCTCTCTCTTGATTCGTATCGACTGATCGATAAGGAAAAAAAAAGCACACGTACAATAGGAAAACGAAACACACAAAACAATAACGCATAGAAACCCGATTATGCGAGAGATCGGCGCGTATACAATCATACAGCCGTGCGCGCGAAACACACACGCACAATACGCGCGTGCATTTCGAAGCGCATTTCGCGAAACTCGCGCGCGCCGCTCGGAGACTCGCAGCCCTGCCTCCGACGACGAGTCGGTGCAGTTTTACGCCGACAACCGCTCGACGAGCAGTTGGTATAGCACAACACCAGTATTAGTCGTCGTCTTCGTTGACACTCGGTGCTCGCAACTTTTTTTTTTATCATCCAATAGTGTGAGTATACTTCTCGAATCAATCAGTATTAACAGTGGAGTTTTTCAGTGATCGATGACTTTCTTCGCGCCGATCGGTTACCGTGTTTCTTCGTACATCGTAGATACAGACGTAAACTTTCATCTCTGGTCGTTATCGAGATTTGACCCTGAATAGTTTTTTTTCTTCTTTCGTTTCACGCGAAATTTCAAATCCTATCGCTCGGCATTTTAAAAGTGTTCAAATCGTCGGCTGCACGTGCGTTATCGAAGCGTGTCAAGTTCTTGCATACGAGTGTTTACGCGCGCGTGTACACGCATAACGATTGTACTTATACTATCAAAATGAGTCAAGTTTTTTGTTTTTTTTTTTTTTTTCTACCAAACGACCAAAGTTCAGGGAGAAAAATCGGCGCGATATCCGCGCGAATGCCATACAAGTATAATAAACGTGTTATAAGCGTAGGTGTGATACGAGCGCTCGACGTGTTTACACCCTCGTTTATATCGATTGTATAAACTGTGTGTATGTGCGGACATTGACCCATACGCGCGTGTCGCGCCTCGGTGTACATCTTTTTTATGTATTTTTCTTGGGTATATAATGTATATTTTTGCGCCGCATTGCACACGGCTGTCGACCGATAAAAATGCGCGAGAAAGAGAGAGAGAGAGAGAGAAAAAAAAACGATATACGTAAGTCGTGAAAGTAATCAGCGCGACGAGAGACGAAAATAGTCGACTTTCTACAAATTAAACTACTGCAGCACATTGTTGTTGTTGTTTTTGTTGGTTGGCAATAATTGTGACGACTTTCATTGACGAGGATTTTTATAACGAGCATTAGACTAATGAGTTTTCCCGCGGCTCGAATGCGGATACCATCGAGATCTCGATTTAAATGCCTTCGCGTATATAAGAGCGTCGTAAATTTTGTCAGCGACGAATTTCGGGTCGCCGTAAGCGAAGAACTAGACTAGAGCAAAAGATTACGAAGGAAATGAACAAGCTGGGAGGCTGTCAATAAAAAATGAGCCTTGTTATATGTATTACATTATTTTTTATCGACTTATAAAAAAACGAGGTATTTGAACCCAGATAAAAAAATGTTCAACTCCCTATTAATTATTAATTAAGGATATTATTTATTTTCATTCAAAAGTTTATTGATTTCTTTTCAACATAAGTATTGTTTTTACATGGTGATATAACGCTGGAGTATTTTATGATATTATTATAATTTGATAATTTTTAATTAGTCTTTCGAACGTGTACATTAAATTTTTTTACGTTCATATTAATTAGTAATATGTGAATGATGTACTCTTCGTCATGTAACTGCATCAAAAAGAATTGTAAGAATATGCGTAAATGATTTTTTGCATTTATCTCGACCATGTGTGACACCGATATGATTCACATTCATGTGGAATCTGAGATTGTGTTGATGATAAGACTTTTTAGCAAATGACTTTTTTTACATATCACATGTATGTTTAGTACCATGATGCATTGAATCGATGTGGGTTCTGAGATTACCCTTCATTTTATAATCTTTTCCACAAATTTAGCATGTACGTTTAGTTATACCTTTACGCACCGCATCTAAGTAAACTTTAAGATTGGATTTTTTTGGAAATGACTATCCACGTGTTTTGCGTACATGTTTGGTACGATTATTGTGCACAGAATCGATGTGAACTTCAAGATTGTGTTTACTTGAAAATTGTCTTCCACAAATATCACATGTATTTTTGGTACCATTATGTATTCTATCGATGTGGGTTTTAAGATTGCATCTTTGGGAAAATGTCTTGCCGCATAGGTCACATTTATGTTTGTTACCATTGTGCACCGTATCGACGTGAACTTCAAGATAATGCTTACTTGAAAATTGTTTTTCACAAATATCACATGTATGTTTGGTACCATTATGTATTCCATCGATGTGGATTTTCAGATTGGATCTTTGTGAAAATGTCTTGCCACATATGTCACATGTATGTTTGGTACCATTATGTATTCCATCGATGTGGATTTTCAGATTGGATCTTTGTGAAAATGTCTTGCCGCATATGTCACATGTATGTTTGTTACCATTGTGCACCGTATCGATGTGACATTCGAGATAATTCTTACTTGAAAATCGTTTCCCACAAATATCACATGTATTTTTGGTACCATTATGTATTCTATCGATGTGGGTTTTAAGATTGCATCTTTGGGAAAATGTCTTGCCGCATATGTCACATTTATGTTTGTTACCATTGTGCACCGTATCGATGTGAACTTCAAGATAATGCTTACTTGAAAATTGTTTTCCACAAATATCACATGTATGTTTGGTACCATTATGTATTCCATCGATGTGGATTTTCAGATTGGATCTTTGTGAAAATGTCTTGCCACATATGTCACATGTATGTTTGGTACCATTATGCACCGAATCGATGTGATGCTTCAGATTAAAACTATGAGAAAATGTCTTGCCGCATATGTCACATGTATGTTTGTTACCATTGTGCACCGTATCGATGTGACATTCGAGATAATTCTTACTTGAAAATCGTTTCCCACAAATATCACATGTATTTTTGGTACCATTATGTATTCTATCGATGTGGGTTTTGAGATTGCATCTTTGGGAAAATGTCTTGCCGCATATGTCACATTTATGTTTGTTACCATTGTGCACCGTATCGATGTGAACTTCAAGATACTGCTTACTTGAAAATTGTTTTCCACAAATATCACATGTATGTTTGGTACCATTATGCACCGAATCGACGTGAGTTTTGAGACTAAATTTTTGTGAATATTTCTTGCCGCAAATGTCACATGTATATCTGGTACCTGTATGCATCGACTTGATGTGGGTTTTGAGATTACCTTTTACTGAATAAGTCTTGCCGCAAATATCGCACGAGTGGGTATTACTTTGACGAGATGATTTAATGTTCTTATTCACATTAGTCCTATGTGAACATTTTTTTTCACATTTCTGAGCTGTATTACTATGTAATGTATTAGTTTGTAATTTAAGGTTATATTTGCTGTTAAACTTTGTTGTGATTCTTCTTTTTTTATTTCCTTGGATAATTTCACTGTCGACATTTAACTTCAATTGTTCTACATCATGTTGGAAAAGTTCCTCTTTCACTTTCGCCGTGGTCTCTACTTTTATTTCTTTTTGATTTTTATAACCATCGTCAATTTCTTTATTTACTGGCAAATTAATATTGGGCTTGACATCTTCACATTCAAAAACTATATCCATATCGTCATTGAGTTCGCTTTCGCGATTTTCGTCCCATTTTCGAATACTATGAGTCTATGGAAAAATAATAGCTACATGAGAATTTTTATTATACTATACATAATCACATATTCGATTATGAACTCTTACCGAATTTTCTCGCGGAAACGGTATAAGTGGAAAGTTCTTCAGATCGGGTTTCTCGTCAATCATTTCATCGCGAGGCTCCTCCTTCACCCTGAAACTACCCAAATTAGGTTAAGTATTTCGTTGCGATACTCTTACAATTTTTTCTCGCGTTAAAATGAAAATTACCTGAAGTCACGATTACTCGTTCCACTGGATTCCATATTTGTCACTTGAAATTCCGTTGACTTTGATAAACTCTCTTGGTGACGATCGAGCTAACTATACGCGGGTCGACTGGCGAAGAGCACTGTTCCGTGGCTACTGCCATTGGCGGGCTCGTTCCGTTGTTTACGTCGTGCGCGCGGTATGTGTGACCTGTCCGATACCTGTTATGTCCGGCACATGATATTTTGCCATATGAACTGCAGGCAAGACTACGAACAAAGCAAAATCATTGGGAGAAATGACATTACTTATCGATATCAAACAATTTTCTACGAATGAATTATTTCCTTAAACCTTAATATTACACCGTTACACAGGCGCGGATCCTGCAGCGGCGGCGACGGCGTCGGCGGCGCAATCATCAGCGATCAGCGGCACGATCATGATGGGCTCGGGCACGTTCTACCTGCTGCAGCTGCTGCTGAACGGGCTGCTGGCCACCGGCTGGGCACTCGGCACGTCCGGCATGGACCAGCTCAAGGTGGCGGGTATACCCGCGCCCGAACTCGTCGACTTGGCCGACGACGGGATCGACATCGATGTGGACGATCGGGACAACAATTACGCCACGGCCGAGGACAGGTCGCAGTCGCGACCGACGACGACGATACAGCCGCTCCCGGGTCTGCTGTATCCGCGCGAGAGCGAGACCCGCGAGGTGCGTATAATGAATAAAAATGTTAATTTTTAGGGATGAATGCTTAGATTCAAGTGAGACTTCTTGTAGATAAAATCTCTGGACGGACTGTGGGATTTCGCCGTGCCGCCGAGCAACGACGTGCTGCTCGGCCACAGGGAGTCATGGCACGCCCGGACCTTGTCCAATGTGAGCTAATTTCCATAAATAATTTTTTTTTTTATCGCGCAAACGTATAAATATTCATTTTTGGGGCGCAGAGCACCAAAGTGATGCAGATGCCGGTGCCGTCGTCCTACAACGACATCACGACGAGTCGAGCGCTGCGCGACCACGTCGGGCCCGTCTGGTACGAGAGGAGGTTCTTCGCCCCGCAGTCCTGGTACCAGAAGCGCGTCTACATCAGATTCGGCTCGGTCAATTATCTCGCTCAAGTCGTAAGTAGATACTAATATCTACAACTTCTTAATATCGAAATAAACTCGTATACGATCTCCTTTTTATTTGTGCGCTGCAGTGGTTCAACGGCGAGCTCGTGGCCAATCACGAGATGGGCCACCTACCCTTCGAGGCCGACATCACCGACAAGATCCTCTACGGCCTGGAGAATCGCGTCACCGTCGCCGTGGACAACAGCCTCCTCCAGACCAGCGTACCCCAGGGCCGTATCCTCGACACCCCCGCGGACAACGGCACCGTCAAGGTCCAGTCCTACACCTTCGACTTCTTCAATTACGCCGGGATACACAGGCCCGTGCTGGTGCACACCAAGCCCCGTGTCCACGTCGAAGACATCAGCGTCGACACGGCCCTCGTGCGCGATCAGGGCGTCGTCAAGTATCGGGTGCAGGTGGCCGGCGCCGGTGCCGGGGATACGACCCCCCACGTCGAGGTGGCGCTGCTCGATCACGCCCAGAGGCTGCAGGTCAGGTCGACAGCGAGAAACAATCAGCCGGGCACGTTGAGGGTGAGCGAGCCGAGGTTGTGGTGGCCCAGGTCGATGAGCCCAAGCCCGGGCTACCTGTACACGCTCGAGGTCACGGTGCTCGTGCCCAATACGTCGCTGATCGACGTCTACCGGCTGCCCGTGGGCATACGCACGCTGCGCTGGACCAACACGAGTCTGCTGCTGAACGAGCGGCCCGTCTACTTTCGGGGCTTCGGCAGGCACGAGGATGCCGCCCTCAGGGGTCGAGGGCTCGACCTCGTCACGGTGGCGCGAGACTACGAGCTGCTCAAGTGGGTCGGCTCGAATTCCTATCGCACCAGTCACTATCCGTACAGCGACGAGGTGCTGGACATGGCCGACCGGCTCGGCTTCATGATCGTCGACGAGTGCCCGTCGGTCGACACGGAGAATTTTTCAGCCGAGCTGCTGGCCAAGCACAAGCGCTCGCTGTCGGAGCTGGTGCGCCGCGACAAGAATCGGCCCTCGGTCGTCATGTGGTCGATCGCCAACGAGCCGAGGACGCAGCTGCCCACCGCCGATCTGTACTTCAAGGAGGTGGCGGAGCACGTCAAGTCGCTGGATCCGACGAGGCCGATTACCATCGCCTTGGCCAGGAGCGTCTTGGTGAGTTGAATTTTTTAACCCTTTTTTTTTTTTTTAACGTACGCGTAATTGACTCTCGATTCGTAAAATATAGGAAGACAAAGCGGGCCAGTATCTGGACGTGGTGAGCTTCAATCGCTACAACGCCTGGTACTCGAACACGGGCAGGCTCGACATGATCACGAGCCGCGTCGTTGCGGAGGCCAAGGCCTGGCATCTCAAGTACAACAAGCCGGTGATGATGCTCGAGTACGGCGCCGACACCATGCCCGGACTGCACGAGGTACGGATAACGTATAATATGAAAAAAAATAATACCGATCTGATACCGATTTATTTATTTATAATGACGCAGCTACCCGAGTACGTGTGGAGCGAGGAGTACCAGCTCGAGACCATGTCCCGGCACTTTGACGCGTTCGACCAGCTGAGGCGCGAGGGCTTCTTCGTCGGCGAGTTCATCTGGAATTTCGCCGATTTCCGTACGGCACAGAGTACGTCTAAGAAATCTAAGGATCGTCCTCGTAAACAAGGCGGCCATAAGAGGCGCAATAACAGAAACGAGACAATAACGAAACGACGCTCTTCTTTTTCAGCTTACACGAGGGTGGGCGGCAACAAGAAGGGCATATTCACGCGCGATCGCCAGCCCAAGATGGTGGCGCACCACGTGCGTAGGCGCTATCACGCGCTCAGCGCCAAGCTCGACAGGGCTCCGGAAGTGCCCGACGATCTCGACCACTACGTCTACTGCGGAGCCAAGGACTGCGTGTAAACCGTTGTGTGACGAATAGTATAACGACGAAGCAGTACAAATCGATGTTACATTAAAGGATTGACTATTTTTTTTTTTATAAACGAAAGAAGAGGAAGAGAAATCGAGATTAATTGAAGCATTTGTGCGACATAAATTTTTACATGTAAATAATTTTATATTATACCGAGCTTGTATACAACGATATACAATGTAAGATTGTAACGTTAAGAATTGTACCGTGTTCATAATACTATGTATTTACACGATTCGATACACACACGGAAAATAATCCACGTTAATATACACACACACATAAACACGTAAACACGTTTTCGTATTTAAAATAAATACCTATATCAATTGCGCAACCAATGCGAAACTCGTTGTTTTGATTTCATTCGCGTCTATAATACGAGCCCAAGTTTATAACACGCACGTGTGAATTTTCCGGCTGGACGTTTAAATAGCAGGTAGTGTAAGCTATAGAGTGGACCTGTCAACGCGACGCAGTGCTGCATACAACATTACTGCGAATAATCGATATCGTCGTAAGCTGCATATTCGTGCTGTTGTACTACTGCGCGCGCTAAAGAACAGCAGCAGCAGCAGCAGCAGCAGGCATGTTCAGTCGGTTCTCGGGTAGTACGGACGATGTACTGGGCAACAAACTCACCGGTTTGCTTTACCCGAGGGAGAGCGAGTCTCGCGAGGTGAGCTTTTATTTGTGATAAGTAAATGTATATTATTTGCATTTAAATTACACCGGAGACGAGCCGAGGTGTAATTACGCGACGATGTGCAGTGCCCTTACATATAAAGTACCACTTCGCGTTGCAGGTTAAATCGCTGGATGGTTTTTGGGACTTTGCTGTACCCCCTGCGGACGATTTGCAAAAGGGTCACAAGGATGCTTGGTACAGCACGAATCTGTCGAAGGTATGTAAAAAAGAGAGCAACGCACGAGTCGATCGATATTCTTGTCTTATTCCCCCTGGCTATGTATATATAGGTGACGAAAGTCATGTCTATGCCGGTGCCTTCTTCGTACAACGACGTGACGACTTCGAGCAGTCTTCGCGACCACGTCGGCCCGGTCTGGTACGAGAAGACTTTTTACGGTCCTGTGGCCTGGAAGAGCGATCGAATCTTCCTGAGATTCGGCTCTGTCAACTACCTGGCAGAAGTCGTGAGTGTCTTTGTTTTGTTTTGTTTTTTTTTTTTCAAGTGTATATAGCATCAATTGTTTTTTTTTTATTTACACAGTGGATGAATGGCACCCTCATAACGAGCCATGAAGTGGGCCACTTGCCCTTCGAGGTGGAAGTAACAACATTCGTGTTACTAGGTGGAAACAATCGTTTGACAGTGGCTGTCGACAACACCTTGAGCAAACTTACCATACCCCAGGGTAAAATTGTCGAAGCAGAGACCGAAAGCGATGGCCCTGTCAAGATGCAAACTTACACCTTTGATTTTTTCAATTATGCCGGAATTCATAGGTAATTGAACGTTATTCAAATTGACGACTGTTACCTTGAAGATGATTATTTATACAATTTTATTCGTAGGCCTGTGCTGCTACACACAAAACCAAAAAATTACATCCAAGACATCTCAGTAGTAACAGAAGTATTTGATCAAGTTGCTATTATCAAATATCAAGTTGATGTATTTTCATTGAATGCCAAAGAAGTCATTAGACCTGGAGTCAAAGTAGATCTGTACGATGCCGACCGTAATAATGTATTAGAAAAGACTGAAATTGGATCGGAAGGAGTTCTAGAAATAAAAAATCCAAAATTATGGTGGCCTATTTTCATGGATAGAAATCCAGGATATCTTTATACATTAGAAGTATGTTACGTTCAATTATTTATTATGTGCTTAGAAATAACCTTTTATTTATGTAATATTCATTTTGCAGGTTTGTGTGACATCGGTTGACTGCTCCAAGGCAGATGTTTATAGATTACCCATAGGCATACGACAAATAGAATGGAATAATTCATCTGTCCTTATTAATAAAAAACCAATTTATTTTCGAGGTTTTGGAAAGCACGAGGATGCTGCATTAAGAGGTCGTGGATTAGATTTAGTAACAGTTGCCAGAGATCATGAATTACTTACTTGGGTTGGAGCAAATACTTATCGTACTAGTCATTATCCTTATAGCGAAGAAGCACTAAATTTAGCTGATAAGTATGCATTGTTTATTAAGATCATTTGACTGCAAAAGCTAAATTAATGAACACAGATTTTTATTGAAGAATGGGCTTTCTCATAATCAATGAGTGTCCTTCTGTAGATACAGATAAATTTTCATCACAACTTCTTAAAAAGCATAAGATGTCATTATCTGAATTAATAAGAAGAGATAAGAACAGACCTTCTGTTATAATGTGGTCAGTGGCTAATGAACCAAGAACTTTAAACAGAGATTCTCCTAATTATTTCAAACAAATAGTCAATCATGTTAAGACACTTGATCCTAATAGACCAGTCACAGCAGCTATTGCTGTATCGCCAGCTGTAAGATTCTCATAATCTTATTGGATATTAAATAAACTATGTAATGTTTTTAATCCAAATATTATTTATAATATTAATTTTTTTGAAATTTAGGAAGATAGAGCTGGTCAATATCTTGATGTAATTAGTTTTAATCGCTATCAAGGCTGGTATTTAAGTACAGGTAGACTAGATTTGATTACACATCGTGTTATGGAAGAAATTCAAGCTTGGCATGACAAATACAGTAAACCAGTGATAATGGCAGAATATGGTGCTGATACTATGCCAGGGTTACACGAGGTAGAATTATTTTGAATATTTTTACGGATTCACTTTCAGAAATTTAATAAATATGAAAATAATTGTAGTTACCAGAGTACGTTTGGAGTGAAGAATATCAATCAAAATTGTTGTCTTGTCACTTCAAAGCTTTTGACAAAATGAGATCAAAAGGATACTTTATTGGAGAATTCATATGGAATTTTGCAGATTTTAGAACAGCTCAAAGTAAGAACACAAATTTTACTTGTATAACGATAATCTTATAAATTATTTTATTTTGTATCATTTCAGCTTACACAAGAGTAGGAGGCAATAAAAAAGGCATTTTCACAAGAGACAGACAACCAAAAATGGCAGCCTTCCATGTACGTAAAAGGTACCATGCCTTGGCAGCTGAAGAGGGAAACACCGATCCTCCCAATGATCTTGAAAACTATACATCATCGCACTATTTTTGATTTTTAAAGTCAAATTATAATACTGTTATTTTACAATGATAAAAATTATGAATTAACTATTGTTAATGAAAAAAAAAAATAATTTTTCTATGCAAAATATAAAAATTGGACTAGTCTATTAATAATTCAACACACTCGAGTCACTTCTCCTCCTCTGGGAGGTCCTGCACAACTTTTAAGCAGTGGTCGGCCAGCTCGACGAACAAAGGCTCCTTCATCGCCCTCGAAATGGCACCGGTCGGATCGGAGTCTTCCAAGATTTCCCGAACGTAATCCTTGAGATGGGGATTTTTCAAACAGTTCTTTAACTCCTCGTTCTGACGAAGTCGCTCCAATTTCTCCATCGGGACGGTCGACTCGGTCGGGTATTTGTAACTCTTGGGCGTCGAGACGACTTTTTGAGCCTCCTTCTCGGCCTCCAGTGCTCGTACGAATTCCGTGTCGTGCAGCAGATCGTCCTGTTTGTGTATGTGATGGCACGATATCGAGCAGCTACGAGGGAAGAACATAAAAAAAAATCGATAACATTTTTAAATCACCACCGATGGATTGGAGCACACGTGCTACTCACTATGGCCTGCGGCACTTCGGGCACCTGTAGCTGGAATTGTCTCGGCTGCAAACGCAGCATGTCTTATCGACTGGCTGTTTCTTTTTCGCCAGCTCCATTTTTTCCCCTATCCGAAGTACTTATATTAAAATATAACCGTTATTGTCGATTTCTCGACGTAACATACAAACGAAAACAAAACACGCGACACGAAGTACGCACAAAATTTAGCTCGCCGGTCGCTGAACTATACACGTTCGAATACACACTGTAGCCTGGCAGACGGCATTCGACACGTGCTGCGATGTTTAGGCTTCTCGCTTGACACTGCGAAAAATTTCGCAAACTGTCGGTACGATTGGTTGACGCGTGCTGCCAATGGGACGCGGCGGTAAGGTAGAGCGCGCTGTAATTAAAATTTAAAATTCGTTGTTTTTAAAAAATAATTTATTCATATAATTAATTCTTTGAAATTTTGATAATTGACAATAGTCGGCAGTATAAAGATGTGCGATGTACGGGAGACATCGATAATAATGATTCCTACAACTAAAACTTAAACAATATTACGACAAAAGCGTTTATAAATAATAACAGAACTATCAATCTATTATACGTTCAAGCAGTTCTTAATTTACATAATTCAAGTTCACAAAAGATTTTATCGAAAAGTGGAAAATGCGTGTAAAATTTCAACTTGCAATCGTACGATTAAAGATGAAAAATACAATTTTGTAAATCAGAAAAAGAAATAAATTCTTTTATTATCATAAAATGGCCGCGATGGGTTATTATTATGAACAATAATTCTATTGATAAAAATTCTTTTTTAACAAATAAATATTTTCGCTCGATCGGTTATGTACGAGCGATAATAAACTTTATTTTATATACAAAAATTGTAAGCCCTACAGCTGGTTATCCAGATCCAATGTAATTCATATGATTTCAGGATTTAAAAACCATAATGATACTAGTTGAATATTTTTATAAAAATTTTCATTTAGATACTTGACGACAGAACCTACTAAGTCCTCGTACGAATCCAAAATTATTTACATAAAATTCCCCACCTACTCGAGGATAAATATTTTTTCTTTTCATTCCTATACGCTTTTCCCATCTGGGGCTTTGAAAACTATTTCCTTTTTTCGATGAAATAAAGTTCATTGCACACGTACTACACATACAGTCACTCGCATGGATGAATTTCCTCGGCTTTGTGCGGCTATACACGTACAACATCGCGCAGGAAATCATCGATCTCGCATAACAGTCGCGTACGCGACACACATAACATCGTTGAAGAATGAAAAAAAAAACGAAGCAAAAGAGAATCTAAACAATTACGCGTCGCGTAAACAATCGCAATTTTCACCGATACGCACATAACATCGCGTGGAAAACTAACGCACACGCCGCGCATTATCGGCTGCAGCGTAGCAGTAGGTGTATACAATATAATACTCGCCTATCACAATGGTATAAAAAGCATAAAAACGTAATAGAGTATGTAGAGAGAGAGATAGAGAAAGGAAACGCTCCGCGAGTACATAATACGAATCAAACGCACGAGCAGAACTGCGCGTGTTTGATCTCTTTGTTTTTACTTTTTCTTCGCGCCGAGCACCGGACACATCGCGCACACAACAACAACAACAACAAAAAATAATCCAGAGTTCATTCGCTCGTCGTCGTAGTCGTTCACCAGTCGAACTGAGTCAGAGCCGCCAGGGCCAAGGCAGCCGTCATCAGCAGAATCGTCGTCGAACGTCCGCAACTCGTTATCGCCGCCGTCGCGGAGTTGCGCCGCGACGAGGGCAAACGATTTATCCTCGTGTCCAGGGCGCCGTTGCTGTCTTTGCTGCTGGTTCGCGGCGGCTCGCACACGGTTCCGTTCACGGCCTCGGCGAGGTTACCCGTGAGAATGCGATAATTGTAGTCCTCCGGATCGAGACGATTGTACATGAAGGCGGGCAGACGATCAGACAGCACGTAGATGGTGCCGCGACGATCGATCTGTAAAGAGGCATTGGTTGATTTATAATTTTTTTTGTAATGATATGTAATTTTTATAGAAAAAAAGGTTTGGTTATATTCAGACGTGAGATACGTGCGATGCTAATTCGACAATGATGTAATTATAGTGATATATTTTTCATTCGTTGGCATTGATAACTTGGAAATTTCACGACGTGATTTCCTAATTCTTAATAGTTTAACGTCCTATCGTTGCCAACATGAACATGGTTTTTCCTCGATCATTTTGTCGAGCTTCACATACACATACACGCACACGCGTACGGCCGTATGCGAAGCGGTCGCGCATATGAGTTGGTTAGGTGCTCTTTGCATAGGCACAGTTTTTCACAATACATGGGGAGCACACCACACCGCTGTTTGTTGGTCTTTCGATGCTGTAAGATTGATGTGTAATCGTCGCGGCGAGGTTAATCGTTAGCGAAATTCCCAGTGATAGAAGATGGCATGTAGTGGTTCGTTCAACAGCGATGTCAGGTAACTTTCATTTTATGAGAATTAAATTGTAAAAATATTATAACCTAAAACTTGAGTTGACTGGAATTATTTCAGGGTGAAGGAGGAGCCTGGCGAAGAGTTGCTCAGAGGAAATAATTATGAAATCATTGATGAAACATACGATCTTGAAAACTTGAAAGATTTACCACTTCTTCCAGAAAATTCAGTAAGTTTTGATAACTTTTACGTATGATAATACGTAATTTGTAGTTGTTATTGTACGGAAATTCTTATGTAGTTGTAATTTATCTACAGACCCTCGTGCTTCGAAAATGTGACGCAAATCATGAAAATGAATTTGAAGACAAAGTGGAAGTAGTCGCTGAATACGAAGAATTTAAGCCCAACATTAAATCATTAACAGTAAACAAAATTGACGATGATTCTCTAAATCACTTGCGGAATGTAAAAGATAGCAATGATGATAAAACTCAAAACACGATTAAAATAGAACCAGCGGAAGAAGTGAAACAGGAATATTTTTGTGACGCTGCAGAACAATTGAATTCAAATCTTGATTGTAAGCTAAATGACGATATGGATATAGTTTTCGAATGTGAAGATGTCAAGCCTAATATGGATTATCCAGTAATTAAACAAATTGGCAATGGTTATAAAAACCAAAACGAAATTAAAATAGAGACCTCGGGAAAAGTGAAACATGAGTTTGTTGGTTACCCTGTAGAAGATTCGAATTTGAATATGGATTGTGAAATTGCCCAAGAAAATAAAAAAAGAAGAATCACAAAAAAGTTTAACAACGCACAAACGTCTCTCGCATGTGAAATATGCGGAAAGAAATATTCAAATAAGGCTAATGTGAATTTGCACATTAAATCATCCCATCGAGGTATTATTCACCCGTGTGATCTATGTGGTAAGACGTATTCGCGAAAAGGTAATCTCAAATCTCACATTAGCGCCGTACACAATGGTACCAAGCACACATGTGATATTTGCGGCAACACATTTTCACAAAAATGTAGTCTCAAAACCCACATCGATAGAATACGTAATTGCACCAAACATACATGTGATGTATGCGGAAAGTCGTTTAAACAGAAGAAAAATCTTGAAATTCACGTCGATTCATTGCATACTGGTATCACATATGCATGTACTATTTGTGGAAGGAAACACTCAAGGAAGAGTATGTGTAAAATCGCTTACACATGCGATACATGCGGTAAATCATTTACTCAAAAAAATAGTCTCAAAACCCACATCGTTGGAATACATAATTGTACCAAACATACATGTGATGTATGCGGAAAGTCATTTAAAAATAAGAGAAGTCTTAAAATTCACGTCGATTCGGTGCATATTGGTGTCACATATGGATGTGCTATTTGTGGAAGACACTTTTCAAGTAAGCATTATCTCGCAGCTCACATCCGTACGGTGCACAATGGCATCAAATACACATGTGATATTTGTGGCAAGACACTTTCACAAAAATCCAATCTCAAAGCCCACATTGATTCTGTGCACAGTGGCACCAAACATGCATGTGTTATTTGTGGGAGACAATTTTCAAGAAAGCATTATCTTGAATCTCATATCGGTACAGTGCACAATGGTAATAAACACACATGTGATATTTGTGGTAAGACATTTTCATGCAAAAGTACTCTTAAAGTCCACATTGATGCAGTACATAATGGTACCAGACATACATGTGATATTTGTGGAAGACACTTTTCAACTAAGCATTATCTCAAAACTCATATCGGTACGGTGCACAATGGCACCATGCATGCATGTGACATATGCGGCAAGACATTTTCAATGAAAGGTAACCTTAAAGTCCACATTGATGCAGTGCATAATGATACCAAACACACATGTGATATTTGTGGTAAGACATTTTCATGCAAAAGTACTCTTAAAGTCCACATTGATGCAGTACATAATGGTACCAGACATACATGTGTTATTTGTGGAAGACAATTTTCAAGTAAGCAGTATCTCGAATGTCACATCGATACGGTGCACAATGGTAACAAACATACATGTGATGTATGCGGAAAGACATATTCACTGAAAGGTAATCTTAACAAACACGTCAAATCAGTGCACAATTAAATCACCCATTCATGTGATATGTGCGGAAAAAAATTCACAAGTAGGTGGTATCTCAAAGTCCACATTCATTCGTTGCATCACGCACGAATTGCAACTTAATCGAAGTATACATTTTAATTTACATTCAGAATAACTATAATTTAAATTTTTTCATTTGTCACAATATTAAAAATTTTTCCAATGTTACAAAGCTTTAAGTTTTGAAAAAATCAAACAAATTTTTTGTTAGAAAATCAAGTACAATGTTCATTTTAAAGCTAATAAAATTTTCGAATCTCTCGAATTAACTGCAATTCTTATGATTTCTCTACACGTCCACGCTATCGAGCACATCATTTTTTTTTTTTTTTTTTATAAATAAGAGCTAGTTCTAAATAAGCAACGATATTTTCATTTATTTCGTGCAATGCAGACGTACCTTGATGTCGTTGGGAAAGACCATTGTGACGTTGTCCATGTAGACGCGTCCCTGGCGCTGCAGGGTGTAGCGCGAGCCGGCGCGCCAGCAGGCGATCGCGTTGAGATTGGTCAGCGCGTAGACGAGCACGCCGCTGGCCGGATCGAGGAAGCTGACGCTGCTCTGGCCGTTGGGTCCGCGCGAGCCCAGCAGTCGGAACTCGTGGAAGCCCTCTGCGAGAAACGATCGAACACGATCAATGAGTTGATTCGTGAACAAAGCGAGAGGAAAACGGAAAAGCGAATCGCGCGAAACTCACCGGACGTGTCGGCTCGCTTGGGATCGCGCAGCAGTCGAGTGCCCACGGAGAACTCGGCCGTGCTGGTGAGCGGATGGAAGTACAGGGTGCTGTAGCCGTCCTCGTGGGGCTGCAGGGCCATGCCCAGGACGCCGTCCGACCAGTGGAACACCACGCCGCCGACGTTGAACTCGCCGGCCTGTCGAACGATAACGAAAAATAAATAAGTCTACGTCGAGATGATTGCAGATATACACACAAGCCGTGTATACAACGGTTAATAACGATTCAAGGCTCGTTCGTTCGATAAGGAGCGCGGCTTGCAGAAATCATAATTTTCCGTGTCATTGTAATTATACCGTTGGTCTAGCAACTATTATACCGCGAAGATGTTGATATTCAGTCCCCATTGTATGGAGATTTGTGTGTGCGCGCGCGATGTGTATTCTGTAGAAATCTCGATATATTATTAAAGCGTGTCAATGATCAACCGTGGCGTATTATACAAGCGTTTGCGCACATAATTAAAAAGAAAAAATGAAAAGGCTTTAACTGCCGACTCACGGCGAAAAAAAAAAATAGTCGCTAAAAAACTGCGTTATTATCAATTTGAATCGAACGATAAAAATTAGCGGTAAAAAAATTTCCAAATCGAGCTGCAAAATTAGGTGTATTACGACACAGCAGTAACAACAACAACGCAGTGTGCATCTCTTTCTATACCCGGCGGTAGAAGCCATGTATTTATATACACATGCGTGCATAAAAGCAGTGCACGTATATATACGAGTCGATAATAATTACCCGCACTGAAAGTACACCTGAGTATACATTTCAAACGAGCGGCTCGTAGTAGTAGTAGCAGTGCATTAGAGGAAAAAAATAATCAACTAATACGACTCGTTGAACGCATAATATACTTTATTATTTTTTTTTTTTTATTCTTCTCTATCCCCTCGGCATCGCACGTGGAAAACTTTCTAAATATATTCGCGCGCGTGCAGCTACAGCTCGAGTTCCGCGGCGGCGATCGTTTTTCCTTAACTAATATTAACGAATTCGCTCGAGCGGCGGCGGCGGCGGGGCCCCATTAAACTTTCACGTTAAATGCGATACACATGCGTCTACTGTCTGTGTGCGTACATAGATATCTGCTATATAGGCAACATGTGTAATATATTTGTCCGACTGTCGAGTCTGCGTATGCGTGTGCGTGTGTGTGTATACGATGTATGACAAACGACAATTATTGTTCCCATGAACTTTCTCGGACTCGAGACTGATATATCTCGCTCGGCTAAGCGGAATGAAAATCGCGCTGAGCGGATAAAAAAATTTTCTTCTTCTTCGGCTGTCACGTGCGGCTCGCATCGTGAAAAAAACAATACATACGACGCGAACGCGATATAAATATTCTAATTGCTCGAGAGAAAAATATATCACGTCTCCCGTGTCCCTATCTGTCTCTCTCTCGAGAGCTCGACGCAACTCGTGCGTGGCACGTGTGTACGACGTAATTGCATACCTGCATGCAGCGCAGCTCCGGAATGCAATGCGGAATTTCGCTCGGAGAACGTGTGTGTCTGTGTGTTGTATTATAAGCGCCGCTGAAGAATGTCATTGATCGCGCCAAGGTCTCGCCGCGCGAATAATAATAACGAGCAAGAGAGAAAATCCCTTCGTTATACTTGTAAATTGCGAGAAACGTAATAACGTTGTATATATATACTGTATATCCTTCGAATTGGCGTGTCTCGATCACTCGGTGAATATATATAATATTACGTAAATGAGGTATATATACAGCGATGTACCGAAGTCAGACAGCTGTCGCTTTTGCGAATCGATCGATCGCCGCGTCTCCGATCCGACGATCGAGATATCTCGAATTTTGCAATGCATTTTTCCTTTTTCACTCACCATCGGATCGGGATGAAAGTAGTGATGCTTGATGAGCCACGAGCTGTCCTGGCGCCACGAGTAGACCACCAATCCGGGCCCGCCGAGATCGGCCAGGTAAGCGTGCGCATCAGCGCAATCCTCCTGATGATCCTCGACCACGAGATTGGCGAACAGCGAGTCGGGCGTCCTCTGATCCTCGGGTATCGCGTAACGTCTCAGAAGTTTATCCTGCCTGAGATCGTAGACGAGGAGACTCGGGGGGGACTGCTGCTCCGGCGAGCCGAGGATGTCGCTGAGGCCCGTGTCCAGGACCCAGAGACGATCGCAGCGATCGGCCCTGATCCGGAAGGGCGAGACGATTTCCGGCGGCGATCGGCCGTCGTCCCGATACTCGTGCGCCTCCCAGGATGGATAGGGAATCAGCGGCGGTGACTCTCGGGTATCTGTGGATCGATCGATCGATTTTCCATGAAAAATATTCAATCGTAATCGAGAACGACGATTGCGAAACGCTTTTATAACATCGTGCCACGGATCGGCGCGCAATCATCATCATCATCGACAACAACAACAAGCGCGATTACGAGAGAAAAAATCACTCTCGCTCTCTTAATCTTCTTCTCGCGCGCGCGGCGGCGGCTTCTGTATATACAACAATAATAACACGTACCATTGAGCCTGATGTAATTCAAGCTCGCGGCTACACCCCGCCTCCATCTCGGCACGGTCACGAAGAGCCGATCGCCGCCGACCTCCAGGCCCAGCGGCAAATTGTCCGCGGCGTCGTACGAGGGAAAGGCGCGCCGAACGTCGTCGTCCTTGCTGTCGGGCCAGTCAAAGTCCAGCTGCTTCCATTGATAAGCCACGCGCAGACGATCGATGCCCTGCACGGAGGCGCCGATCGCGAGCAGCAGCAGCAGCGGAATAATGAGTGCCGCGGGCCTCATCGTTTTTTTTTTTTAATTTTAATTTTTCTGCCTACTATACTAGGCACACGTGCTACTCTGGAGCTCGATTACGCCTGCAACGGAGAATAATACGGCGTGAATAAGAAAAAAAAATTTGAAATCGAGCGAATGAAAAAAAAAAAATCTCGTCATGCACTCGATTTATGCTCGATATGTATATAATATAGCTAACTTTGGTTTTATACGTATATATATATTGTGCATGCATAATAGAAAGTTCTTTCGACTGGTCATGGTCGAGTTACCGCAGGATAGAAAGGTGGCTGGCGATCGTAATACGACGTGTATGTATGTCTATGTGTGCGCGCGCTATGTGTCGGTCTCCGTATAGCGGCCGTCGCGCCGATCGCATTTTTTGGGCTTCAATGTCTGCGTATACATATATGCACCTTTATATAGATCAATTTGACCGATAGCTCGACTCGAGCGCGCATATATACGATCACTCGCGGCACAATTATAAATCGAGCATATATATAGCATATACGTAGACGCGATCTTTTGCAAAAGTTATAACGTACTATATGATAAATGACTTTTACGTGTTATACATGATGCGTCGCCGGCTGTGCACGATCTATAATATATGCGCCGAGGTTCAATTTGCTAATTTTTTTTTTCTCTCTTCTTTTATTACTCTCTCGCTCTTTCGCTAGAAATATATGTGTGCACGATACGCGATTGCAGCTGCGAGCTGGCTTTACGGTAAAAACGGCATTCTGCGCCGTGCGAAGCGGCGTGAAAATTGTGCATATATATCAGGATTTTGCCCATTCGAACGGAAAACCAGTCGATCGATTTTTCGCGAGTCGCGCGATCGTAATACTACACCGCGGCGAGCAAGAGAGATGGAGATAAGGGACGGTGGAAAAAAAGGAGAGACAAAAATCGGTTGGCGGAACGAGAGAGAGAGAAGGAAGAAGAAAAAATCGAATATCTTAATTGAGTAATAATAACGGTACATTCGAGAGAATCCTAGATCTCGAGGTTTTTAGCGCGACTCGAAAGTAGCAGCGATATTAGAAAGATTTTCCTCTTTTTCAATTATTAGTAAATATGCAATTATCGTAATGATCCGTATTCACGGGATTTGACTCGTGCACCTATATATTAAAGGATCGAGAAATCGAGCGTTTAAAAATAAAAGTGCGACACTCTATCTACCGTGTATACGGATACCGATCGCCGATTGTTTATCCTGGCTATTGCCGGTCTGTCGTCGTCGTCGTCGTCGTCGTCGCGTTGTTTATTCGAGAGCGAAGTGGAGCATCCGATTTCGAGAATCGGACTTTATAGCGCGGATCGCATTACGTATATGTATAACACGCCGTGCACACACATATGACTTACGAGCTTATTTTTGCTACTATATATACTACCGGCCCCGTAGTGAGAGGAGAAAGATCATTGCAATAATTGATTCCAGGAAACTCGGCCGCTCGTGGACCTCGAATTATATTCGCGAGTCCGACCTTGAACCGGTCGCACCTTTACGCGCAGCTCGTGTCGCGCGCGCCAATACGTAAGTCATCTTCTTCTCTCTGTTCTCCGCGCGGAAAACGACGCGACAATTGGAAATTGTAAATCTAGGCAAAAATCGTGTCGTTATCGTATCTCGTTATAGTGTGTGTGTGTGTGTGTGCTGCGCCAAATCGGCATGCATGTGCACGCGCTGCGTTGTATTATACTCGCCGAGTATAAATACAAAATGCGATCGTAAAAGAGAAAGCGGCGCGCGCGTAAACTTATCGTCGCGACAGGAGCCTTTTTTAAAAATTCGTTAGTCGCGCTGGCGATTTATCCTTTTTTTTCGTTTCTCGAGCTTTTATTATTTTCTGAATACGTATATGCGACCTCGCGCGCACGAGGCCGAAATGCCAATGCCGGGTGCGGTGGATTTTCTGTTCTCTCTCTCTCCTTTTTTTTTTCTTTTTTTTTGACACTGCGCACGCGGTGCACTCGGCGCGCACTCATTTACTTATGCAATGCGCGTATCGTACAAACGTACGTACACGCGTGTGTACGCGAGCTCATTTTACTGCAGGTAATGATATAACGCGAGAAAAAAAGCAAAGTTTGATAAAAAAAAAGCAGGATTCAAAAGCTACGCGAGCGAGCGTAAAAACTTTTTATTCGCTGCATTATAAAAGCACGCGGCGTCTTTCGAAATTATTATTATTTATCATTCGCGGCTACGCGTGACAGGAGTTGGATATTTTTTACGCACACATTTGACTTCTCTCGAGTTATTTAACGCCTCGATGTCGCGCGCAAGGCTGTATAGAGACAAAAAAACTCGACTTTCGAGTTGCGATTTTTTTTATTTATTTCTATAAGATAAATGGTAATTAGGATGCATTCGTGAAGGATTATTGCGTTGGAATTACTCCGATCGACCGATATAGGTGACAAAAAAAGTATCGCTCCCGACCGGTATCGTTTTTATTTTATGCAAAAATAACGGTTTGCACGAGGGTAATATACACAGGATCAGTATGATTTCACAATTAGAATGCTGTTATCTCTACAGGATAAACTATTTGAAATAACTGTAGCACCTTGATAAAAACTTGCACACTCGTCGGAAAAAAAAAACCAGAATTCACTCGTATTTTCGAAACACGACACTGTCACTACACACGTACGTGTATATGCGTGCGCACTTGGATGCACGCGACGACTTAAAATAATAACATGCAATAAAATGAATGTGTGCAGCGCCGGCGAATCGACGATCGGTGCTCGCTCTGGCAGTGCGCGCGAAACACTGAGTGCGGCGCGACGGAAAATATCCTATACGAGCGGCGCGTCAACCAGCGGTGGCGGCGACGGCCCGATATGTACGTAATGTGTACAATGTTATCCCGCACAATAATGCCGCGTATCGAAAGGAGGGGTTGCCATCCGAGCCCATTCGATTCTCATATGTAGTGCTTTTACATTATAGGTATGGTGCTGACGCGCGACTATACGCGATCGGGTTTTCAGGCGAGCAGAGATGACACATGGAAATGTATAAAAAAGGATCGTCGCGGTTGCGCTTCTCGCTCTCGCGATCGTGACGTACGAGCACGTGAGAAATTGTATGCGAACAAATTCGTAAATTCACATTTAGCCGATGCTTTATCTGAAATAGGATAATGGACGTCTTGTTGGTTTTGGTATATACAATATTTTTTGAAGTAAAATCAGGTAGGGTTTGAATAAAATAATTTAGACGAGTTACAAATTGTCTGCAGATTACAAGTGAATTTATTAAAAAATATGAAATGAATTAGATATAAAAAAAATCCAAAATATTTTAACAAAAATGACATTCAAGACATGTTATTTTTAATGTAATATAAATTTATGTAAAGTAGGTGAACCTCTCGTGACAACACTAATAATAGTTGAAAAAAGTTTTCAGTTTTCAAACAAAATTAGTGTATATTCATGTAAACATTTTTCAAAAATTACGATACATGGAAATTGCAACTTTATTGCGTTCAAATATCTCGGAAACTATTTCATTTTTTTAAAAATTTAATAGGATCATGCACTGCTGTAATGTGATTTTTTAGTACATTCTGGTATCCAAATGATTTGCGACAAATATCACACTCGAAGGTCCTTCTCCGATTATGAACTGCATTTATATGGTTTTTGAGGATACTCGGGTATTCAAATGATCTGTGACAAATATCACACTCATAGATCCTTCTCCGATTATGAACTGCATTTATGTGCTTATTGAAGTTACTTCTATCTCCAAATGATTTGTGACATGTCACACTCGAAAGCTTTTCTATGATCATGAATTAAACTTATATGAGTTTTTAAGGTTTGCCGATATCCAAATAATTTGAGACAAATCTCACATTGTTGCGTTAATGCACTGCACTTATGTGTCTATTGAGGTCACTCTTCTGCAAAAATAATTTGTTACAAATTTCACACTCGAAGGGTTTACAAAGATTATGTACTGCATTAACGTGATTTTTTAGAGTACTTTTATATCCAAATGATTTGTGACAAATCTCACATTCGAAGGGTTTAATACGATCATGTAATGAATTTATATGAGATTTGAGGCTAGATTTTTGTCCAAATGATTTGTGACAAATTTCACATTCAAAAGGTTTGCTCCGATTATGGACTGTTATTATGTGTTTTTTGAGAGTACCCTTTTCTGCAAATGCTCTGTGACAAATATCACATTCAAATGGTTTGCTACGAATATGTACTGCATTTAAGTGACGTTTGAGATCACTCTTCAGTCCAAATGATTTGTGACAAATGTTACACTCGAAGGGTTTGATACGATCGTGTACTGTATTTATATGTTTTTTTAGGATACTATTATCTCCAAATGATTTGTAACAAATCTCACATTCAAAGGGTTTGCTTCGATCATGTACTAAATTCAAATGAGTTTTGAGGGTACCTTTTTCTCCAAATGATTTTCGACAAATGTTACACTCGAATGGTTTGCTCCGATCATGTACTGCATTTACATGTTTATTGAGGTTACCTTTCTGTCCAAATGATTTATGACAAATATCACATTCAAATAGTTTGCTACGAACATGTACTACATTTATGTGAGATTTGAGGGTATCCTTGCGGCAGTATGACTTATGACAAATTTCACATTCGTAGGGTTTGCTACGAATATGAACCGAAGTCATGTGAGATTTGAGTTCTCCTTTTCGGGCAAATGATTTGTGACAAATGTCACATTTAAAGGGTTTGATTCGATCATGTACCGCATCTACATGAGTTTTGAGGTTACTTTTGAGTCCAAATGATTTTTTACAAATATCACATTCAAATGGCCCAATTTTTTTATGGATCGTATTCGTAGGCTTTTTTTGACTTTTCGTATCAGCTTCTTGGCACATTTCTAAGCAATGTGATGGTTTTTTTTTAGCATTATTTGTAAAACTTTTTTGTTCCTCGTACTCAGCGAGTTTTAAACGCGAGTTCACATTCAATGAGCAATTATTATCATAATTGAATCCTTTTTTTATCAAAACTATTGGACTTTTTTCACTTATGCCCTTGGTCTGATGTTCTTTTTCTATTTTCACGTTAGGTAGGCCACTTTCATACTCAATTTTGCAGCCGGTAGCTGCAGATGTAGACGGCAGTTCATGTTTAACGTACTTGCACTCGAAATCAATGAATATTTTTTTATCGAAACTTTTCTGTAGCGCCATAGTCTGATTCGATTGATTTGCCTAAAATTAATATTGTGAATTAGTTTTTGGTACGATAAAAACAGAACAGAACTCACATAATGGAACTCACTTCAGGTAATTCAGGAAACGGGAAAGTTTCAATTTTGACGGTCTTGCAAGAGTCCATCGAATCGAGAACATAATCGCCACCTGCATTTGTCCATGTATCTCTCGGCTCTTCTTTTACCCTGAAGAATATAAATGAGTTTAATAAGGGATTGCTCAACAAATAATCATGGCTGTATATAAAACATGAAAAATGTTTACCTAACTACGTCACTGTTGATATCCATCACTTCTGTGACTAATACGCGTATTCACTGCGATTATTTTTCAATGTACTGCACTGAGAAAATATTCGAGGTTATAAACGGCTCGAATAGCCAACGCTACACTTTGATTTCACTCACACACTTTTTCGAATACAGTTTGTTAACACTCGTTTGTTTTAGAACTCAGTTTCAGAACGAGTGCACAGATCAATTGTCGTAATGCACCAAACTAGGTGATGCAAAATAGGTGAAGATCGTGCGGGTCCAAATGTTTTGTTTACGTTTGACTGCGGCATTAATCTCCGCGCTCGGCGTTAACTCATGCAGACACCTGCGTTGTTTTGTAGTGCGACACGCGATTAAATTCTCCGTATTTTATTGGCACGCAGAACGAAGGCACTTAGTCCACATCTTGACTTCGAGTCTCATCCCAACGAGAGATCATGAAAAGTAAATATGAAGATTTGCCGCAGTTATTCGAGTGAAAAGCGGCGTCCCCGTGTCAAAATTTTAGCCTCCAATTATAAGGATTTTTTATTGAATCGCTCATACATCTCCGCCGCGTTGTAAAATCCTCGTCGTTTCGTGCGCGAAATAATCGTCCGAGCACCCGAATCAATTATCGCGCTAATTTTACAATCCGTCTCTCTGCCTGTCATGCTCTCGAATTACACGTGTCACGCAGCAGCGCGCGAGAAACGAGATATATAAAATTACATTTTAACGCGAGCGGCTTAGTTGATAAATCGCGCTAATGCCGCCAGTAGTCGGAACGGTGAAAGTTCAATTTTTTTCGTAATGTACTTATTTTGTTATTATCATTATAATTATTAATAAATCGCAAATGACGTATGGCCATGGTTCGCAGTATCTCTCCGCAGCTATACAGCAATGCAAATCGATCGACGCGCATAACTAAGGCGAATTGACAAACGATCGAGGAAAAATCGGCAATCGAAATTTCATCGCTCACTACATATGCAGCGCAGTATACGCGTAGATATTAATATTTAACGCGCACTGACCGACATCCTGCTAAGTATATCGGGCATGTGCAGTTAAGTATATTGCGATGAACTCGGGTATATATTCTAAGCATGCAGATAGGCCATCGCTAGGCCTGCTCCGCACTCGTAATTTCTCAACGCGACTGCAACGCACGCACGCATTAAATTCTCCGTGTACCTGCGTACAACGCACTCCATTGAGCAATTCGCCAATAGCGCACGCGTACAGAAAGAGAGTGCATCGAACCGCACTTACACACATCGGCGAGAAAACCGAATTATATTTCTGCCTGTAACCCGATGGAGCGAGAACTCGATGGCCGATTTATCTCTCTCGGTCGCGTTGTCTATGTGTGTATGTATAGAACTTTCGCTGCGTATTATAATGAGTTGCGTGCGTTATCCTGTCCGTATACAATTTTTTTTTGATCGCGCGTATAGCTAATGAGAGAGAAAAAAAAGGCACGAGAGGCAAAAAGGATTCGATTCATTCGTCGGGGTAATCGAGAACGGCATCGAAAATCTCGATAAAAGTTTTTTGGTTCGTAATTCATCGAGCGTAAAGGCCATTCGCGCTGTATATTATAAGCGCGAGTATATAATGGTGTGAAAAGCCATTACGAGCGTGTAGCGCATCTTTCTCTCGATCGGTGTAATTACGGTTGAATAATTAACGCGATGAGCGACGTGAGTACGAGCCCGTATTTTTTTCCTTTTATTATGTATGTGTACAGTACTTACTCACGAACCGAGTTAAAGCCAACACTGACACGGCTCGTGTAAAAACCCGTGTAGGTATAAGGATGATGGAGTTTACGCACATCGTTTGCCGCGAGCTCGTTATGAATACACGTGTGCGCACGACCCCGATGCGTCATGGAACGTGTGTGTAAGTTACGCAGAGGAGAGAAGAGAGACAGGAGCAAGAGTGCAAAAATGTTACAGCGTGCGAATAGCATAAATAAATAATAGAGATCCCGAAAAGGACTTTATAGAGAGAAAGAGAGAGAAAAAAGAATCATCGTTCGAATTTAATTATACACATTACAGCGGCTGCTGACGGCATTGGCTTCGTTTGATTCTTCGATCCGGATTACATACGATGCGACGATTGTTCTCCTTCTGTCGGTTCGACATTATGTCGTTTGTACCTTTTTTATCCTTTTACAGTATCGAATCGATATATGGCGAATGAAAAAATCGCACGCGCATGTTGTGTAAATAATTCCTTCTTACTTTTAAAATCTGACGATCTCGCGCATATAACTCGGATTATTTATGTCGGAGACCTTTGAAAATGTACCCAAATCTTTATTAGACATTTTTAGGCATGCAACTATTTGATCGAAAAATTTCAAACTGAGTTTTACGAGTATGGTGCGGTTGAAATTTGAGTTAACTCTGGAGACCAAAATGGTACTTGGAGAAAAAAAATGTTTGATTAGCTGCTCGGAACAAGTTCTTCCTTACTTTATGTACTTTTGGATAATTCAATTTAGAAAAGTGTATACTTATTTTTGCAAAAAAGAGATTCTCGCACATTTTACGTATATCTTGTGAAAGACGATTGATTTTTTAGAAAATAATCAACACGAGGAGAAAATACTTGTGATAGCAAAAAAAATAAAATAAAAAAAATTGACAATCCTGTAATTTACTATATGTAAGTGCTGCCTCGCTAAGTAAGTTTCAATGCAAAATTTGCTTTTTTTACATGTTAAAAGTAAGAAAAATTCATTCTTAACAGTATGTGTCCAAATTTTTGGGTCAATTTTCTGATAACTCTATATAAAAAGTATAGAGGAATTACTCGTACATGTCACTTTGCTGTTTGTGTTCTCATAAATTCATTTTAACAGTTCTTCATTACTAAACCTATTATTATGGAAGCTTGGAATTCTCAATAATTTGATGACGTTCAAATTTTAGTAATATCTTGCCATGACTTCCATAACTCGATCGTAAAGCAACGTCTTCACGTCTCTCGCAAGCACAAAGTCCAAATGATTGAATTTTTCATGGGGTACAGCTTCAACCACCTCGACGTTGGGCAAAACTTTTGATAGATAAATAATGTTCTAAAAATTAATTATGAAAATTGTTAATACGAGTAGGATCACTAAACAGAATTTCACTTAAATGAAAAAAATTTTTACATGCGGAGCCAGCAACATGTCACCGAGTCCGTAAAACAACGCAAATGGCGTAGAAATATTCTTCAAATTATAGGGAAGAACATATGGTGTGCCATATTTTATCGTATTTTTTTCAGGTCCAAAATCGAGCGGTCTAAAATCCCCTGAAGTGTATTCACAAACAGAAAAGCATTTCCTTGAATTTCAGTTAACGAAAACGTGAGTAAGCGAATAGCTTTGAAAAATACCTTCGACAATATTTTGAACAAAATGTTTTAACGTCTGACGCGAAGTTCCGCCGGGCATATATCTAACAATTTTCGCAAGGACCGACTGAAAATCAATTGGATATTCATTGCAAAAAAAGTTTTTCATGAAATAGTCTGAGAGCCCACTGACAAATAAGATCATTTATTAATAACAATCTATAAATTTTGGTATGTATTTATTGAGCCCGGTCTGACAGAAATTCCCTAAAAATTGTTTTGTCAACCGCGGCATTTGTTAATGATTAATATCAAAATAATGACCCCAAAAAATTTTAGCGAATATCTGTCAGACTAGTAGATTTAATAAATACATACCGAAATTTACAGCTTGCTATTAATAAATGATCACATATGTCGGTGGTCACTTAAAACAAAAGTAATAATCTCTTTTGAATTTAGAAAATACCAAATCGGGGACTTGGTCACTATCCTTGCCGAAATTTACGTCGACCAAGAATTGACACAAATTCTGGACAGTTGAATCTCGATTATTACATAAAATAGAAACGAGGTTTTTCAATAATGGCGACGACGGAAACACCTCGTATATTTTTGAACCTTCAAAAACTTTCTGGAATTGTTATAAAATTTCAAAGATTATTAATCTTTTTCGGGAAGAGGATATTTTCTCATACCACTAGTCCAGGTAGAGCAGCTTTTACACTGCCTATTAAACTTGTCTGGGGGTCATACCAATAAGCTACGGGTGTAAAACTAACGGAAAGTTTCACTTTTTGTTGGTACTCGGGCCTGGTTGACAAAAAAATATAACTTATGGCGGTACCCATGGAATGACCTATATACATGACTTGTTGTTCATTTGTTATATTCAAAACGTAGTCAACGATGTTGGGCATATCTATCACAGCCATTTCATGGTAACTGTAAAAAGTTAACATTGTCAATATTCGTTGCGTAGATAAAAATGCACTTAATACCTGTACTCCCAAAACTCAGGATCGTGATCGGGCGATAAGGTGAGGTGCGAGCGACCGAAGTTGGTCCCTCTGCTGTTGGTGATCCAAATTTCGTGGCCCAAGTCAGCGAGCATGAAAACTTAACATGAAAGTTCTTATTAATTCAAAATCGAGTTTGACAACAAAATGCGTTGGACCATTTCGACCATACCAAGATCGTGTTTTGGTCCAAATAAAATCCATTCGGCACACGTAGCGAGCAGACCATGTTGCACAACAACCGGAAGTCTTTTCTCTGTAGGATTTTTTGGGCTGCCTGGAATTCGATAAATGGCTATTCTGTATCCATCGTCCGAGGTGATTATGTGCTTTTCCACGGGGTAGTTTCGTTTTTCAATCAAGTAATACTGCATATACAAAAAATTATTTTATCAATAGTTAATGGAATTGTTTATACAGTAATTTTTACGCACGCAATCAACATCTTTGTCGATATTTTCCAGTGGGTCGTAATCCATGTACCCTTTTGCCATCTCTGATTTCGGTTTTATTCTCACAAAGGTATGAACTTGTAAGAAATACGACATCATAATTAAAATTATTTCATTTTCAAACTTACGCATAATTAATATTTTATCGAATCTCTGATTTTGCCTGACTAGAATGCCTCTCCGTAGCTAACGCGATATTAAGCAATCGATGAGCAAAGAGTCCTTCACGGCGCTGCATCATTAAAATGAAATACGCAGTCTTTGGCAGTTCGCGGAAAAGTTTTCGGATTTTCTAAACGTCAATATCGAGGAAATTTTTTTCCGGGGGAAAATAAACACTAGTTGAACAATCGATGACATTTCAATTTTAAGGCTACGTAGAAAAATATCGAAGCTGGCGATATAACTCACTACGTTTCGTATATGACACGTTCGGTTGAATATTAATTTTTGCAGGTTTGTCAAGAATGCAAAAAATTTAATAAAATTAGAAAAATATTTTATAAATTTAATTCCATATACTGCAATATGTTTAAGTATGTGACAAATCAGAATTCAGATATAAATGTTGAATTCAAAAGCAAACAGTCAAAAAGGATTTACTTATTGCTTTAATAAATATTTAAAAAAGTCAGCTTCACGAAAAAAGCTCAATGGTATTTATAAAAAAACCTTAAGAATTAATACTAAGGTAAAGTTAGTTGACTAAACATTGTGAATAATTTGAAAATTCGGTTCTCGATCTTTGTACTTTAGTTAAATGTGATGTATATGCGTCGTCGGTTGCACGTTTGTGCATCGAAATTTATTTCAATGTTTAATTCGTTGAATTAATTTTTTCGAATCAATTCGGTAGTGTCACCCTGTATGCAATTTGTTTGGTACTTACCACGCAAAGCCTACTGCAAGGCTATTTTGTATAAATTTGCGATGAAATTTACATTATTTTTTTAAAACTTTTTTGTCATTGCGATACCGATTTTTTGTCATTTTCTTGTTTAACGCATTTTTAACTAAATAAAAATAATTAGAAAACTAGAAAATAGCACATTTTGCTACTCAATAATGGCCATTTTTTGTTATTGTGAGTTGAATGAACACATTTTCAATTTAAGATCTCTTTGTTTTTTTAAGGAGAATAGAGCGCTGAGAAATTATTTTAATTTGACTTCAATAGTTTACAAGATAAGTCTGTATAAATAATTTAAATGTTCATAACTTTGAGACGAACTTTTTTTTCAGAAAATAAACCTAGAAAAATCGATTCGTCTAAAAACGCACAAAAACGCCATAGAGTCCGAAATTTTTACGAAAACCTGGCCAGCAGTTCGAGAGAACTCAACAGTTAATATATATGGATGAACTCAATTCATTAAAATGAAAGAAACTTTTGAAATTTTTTGTTACCATAAGCTTTATGTGCTAAAAAAAAAATCGTTTCGATATGATCAAAATTGAGAAAAAATTTTGATGGAAATGTTTTTTGCGATAATTTTGTTGCGTAAGACGAGCGAGTTGGAATTGCTCGATGCTCTGATCGCAGATCTTGTTGATTATGGATTTGTTATTCGGCTAGAGGAGGTGTGTTACATTCTGGAGGGGAAAAAATGACGTAGGTTCAGGAGAGGGAAAAAAGAATGATCAATTCAGAATTGGTTAAAATTATAATTTTTTATTGTTAAACATAATTAATATATACAGAAAAGACGTTCATCACGTCTTTAGCTGAGAAAATTATTTTTCATGAAAACTCATAGACTATAGTCATTATATCATCACAAAATTTGAAGTTTCAACTATACGAAAAAAGCGAACAAAAAATGTTTTTGTTGGAATTACAAAAAAAAAGGAAAAAAACAAACGGAAAAGAATTATTATTTTTTCAATCGACGATGAATGCACTTAAAATGGATACGATTTAGAAATTTTAAGTTGTTTTTTTCAATGGTAATTGCACACATTCCAGTTGATAATGAATGCAAATTAATACAGATGAACAATTCGTAGTGTTGAAGTTACTAATCTAAATGATTAATATGATTCATGTTCAAAATGAATTTATAAGCAAGAAAATATTCACAAATTATATTCAAAAATTATGATTCTTTTACAAAATTGAGATTTGATCCGCATCTTACACAATAGTACTTCATATGCAACGGGTGAGGATATGATTTTTCTGCAAAACGAGGGGTAGTATCACGAGCCAAAGTCGAGTGCTGTAACGAGTTTAGCTGCAAATGCTTATTTACACAATTTTTATACAATATTTTACAGCACAAGAGCCTAAAACTATAGCGACAAATTGCGATTTTTATGTTACAGTGCCATAAAACTTATTTAATTAAATTAAGTGAAATGTATTCAAATATCAAGTTTTTTATATTTTTTGGGTTTCATTCATTTGGGAATAATTGGTTTTTTGATATCAAAATATGCCACATTATAACACACCAATTCAAATTATAATCTCAACGTTCATTATGGACTTGTACCGATCATGTGGCAGCTATGGCCTGGGGTTCCGGCCCGCGCGTGGTACCTGCTGGATTTATATTACGGCCTGAGGTGCGTCAGTGCATCTCTTTGATTAGAAACTAATTGTTTCGTTTTGTTCAACTCATTGTTAAGTTGCAGTTCAATTGATTTTAATTATTATTTGTTAATCATATTAATCATGCTATTAATGAATTAACACTACAAAAGAGTTTTATTTCTGTGACCATTCTAACCAAATTCGATTTTGATTCATCGTTTTGAACTCAGAATGAATGAATTTGAATTTTTATTTCTCAAAATGAATGAAATTAATTTTTAAATGAGCATTTCTATTATTTAAAATGAAAAATTACAGTAATGACTGAGTGGCTTAAATCAATGATGCTAAACTGCAGAGAAATAAGAATGATAGTTGATATCATATGCTGCAATAATATCTAAGCTGTAATCGATTCATCTATCGTTTCGGATCCAAGCAAAGAAAAACTCTTAGTAAAGCACAATTATGCATGTAAAACATTTTTACTTGTAATGAGTGGTTGTTTTTTAGACTATTTTATGATACATGTTAACATTGTGATTCTTACATCACACTCTGCCAACTTGCTAACAGATTGTTGACAATTGAATTAAGATTCTTGAAAAAGCTTCTTATAAGCTGATTTACATAAGAAAAAACAAAATGGTATAATTATTAATCAGTTTTAAGTGTTGATTTTCACCCTAATAATTTTGTTATTTTTCAAGTAACAGTACTTCAGTAAACTTAGTTTTTAATAAATTTGCATCATTGCTCCTTTCTATTCTTTTATTGTATCCAATACAATAATTTTTCAACTTTTTAAAGGTATTTTCATTATTATTTTGATTAACAGCTGTCAGGATATTACTAATTAAATCAAAAATATTATGTTTTTCCTTATCTTTGAAAGACATCCTGAAATTCTAAATTGAGAAGATTTTTATAAATGAGGAAATACACTTAATCAATGAAATGAAATGCTATTGATTCTTACCTCAAAGTGTTTTATCTCTATTGCCTCTATCTCTAATGCCTTCAAAAAATTCTCTGCTGCTAGCATTAGATTTTTGTTTTTAAACAAATACATTATAGCTAAATTTAATAATATAAATAATCTACGACTTTTGTCGTCTTCATATCTTTCCAACATTTTTTCAAGGTGATTGATAACTTTATCATCATCATCTTTTGATTTTGAAGTCTTTCTAATAAGATAAAGGTAATCTGAATCAGCATGGAAATTGCCCATTTCACCAGTAGCTGCCAAATAGTTTTCTTTAGCTTTCTAAGAAAAAAAACACCATATCACAAGTTGTTATTAAAAGACAACATTTGAAATACTTACCGGGTAATCATGAAAAGTTTCATAATATTTGCCCAGATAATGGTGGTAAGCCTTATAGGTTTTGTCTGAATGTATACACTTTTTAACATTATCTAAACAACTTTTAGCTTTGATACGATCTCTTTGGCCGATGAAGTGCAAGGCAAGAATTGATGTAACTTTTGAGTTTTTTGGATTTTTTAACATATCTTTGTACATATCATTGTACATATCTTTGGATTTTCTCTTTAGATCTTTATTTTTACATTCCTTATACATTCTGGCAATGCAAATTTTGTAATGATCAGATGGTGATAATTCATAACATTTTAAGAATTCTTGTTTTTCTTCTTCAGAAACAATTGAGCAAGAATTTTTTTGACGTCTTTCTGTTCTAAGGCAATAGGCTCTTATATAGTGCCACAATGCACAGTTGGGAGAGTTTGTAATAGCCAAATTAGCTGATTGCAAGGCTGTATCATTATTTTTGTCCACAAATACACATAAAGCTATCGCCTTAGATCCAAATATTGTTCCTTTCTCTATATTAGAATTGAAATTCTTGGCATCTTTTATTTGGATTTCTAATGCTTTTGCTTGGTCTTTTTTCCCATTCATTTTGTAAATGCATAAAGCTGTTGCATCTTTTATGTGTATTAATACATCAACCGAATAATTATTTTGTTCTGAAACACTGTAACAACAGTATATAAATTGTTAGTCATCTTGATATAATCTTTAGTCTTAAAAATTATTTTATGTTGTAACCTTTCACAAATTTTTATCCAGACATCATAAATTTCACTAATTAATTCTTCAGCAGAATCAAATTTATTTTGCTTACAACGAATGTATGCAAGTGTGTTCATCTGAATGAAGTAAGTGATAGGTGATTCTTCACAATCAGTCAACAGAAATTCTTTTTCACAGAAGTCCTTAACATATTTTTGGTATTTTTGGTCCGATATCCAGGTGAATGGGCATTCCATATTATGCTCTGACAGTTTATGAATATCCATTCCACTTTTTTTCTGAAAGTTTAGATAAAAACTTTAGCAAAGTACAAAACTTGTAGCAACTAATAAATAACACGTGGTTTAACTTTTTAAACTAATATATTTTCAGGTCTCAACTTTTTAAACTAAAATTTCGTTATTTTTTTACAAATAATGTTTTTTAAATGTAAGGAGCAGAAAAAGTAACAAGATCATTTCTGAAACTTGATTTAATAACAATCTACTGATTTTGTAATTTTGGCTAGAACATTTCATTTTAAACCCATGTAATAATCTTATTTACTTTAAATCTTATGCAAATCAACTGAATTTCTCGTGCATACGTGATAGTACACGAAAGTTCAGTTGCACAAATATAATTAGAGTATCACAATTCACTATTAGATGAATACGATTGAGTCTCGCTGTTTTTACCCTCAGTTTGATTACATTTTGTAGTCAGTGCTCAGTCAGCTCAAATATTAGCAAAACTCACCATTTAATTATAAATACCTATGATTATAGGATAAATGTACTAAGCACAAAGTTCTGTAAAAATTTTGATCAAATCTCGTAGAGAACGAAGCTAATGGCGATAAACTAAGTGGGAGTCCCGCAGGAGGATTCCCCAACCCACAATTTTGGCACGAGTGAGCCTAAGCCAGAAGATGTCGAGAGTGTCGTCAATAAAAAACACGCAGTCCGCGTGGTGCCAGCAGACAGTTGTAACTGTTGTTGCACCATGATAACACGGTGTGAAGGACTACTTGGCGCAGTTTGTTGTCATTTTAAGTATCAAATTTATAACTAATTTTTTAACATTAGCTCCATCAGCTGTATAACCTAGCATGAGTATTTCATTTATAAATGATCAAATTTTCATTTTTTTTTATAAATAATCGTGGCTGAAGTTGATTACCTACTATTCAAAATGTAAATAAATCAAGTTCATAATGCTATACTGCAGAGAATAGTAATCATTACAAATATTGATTAGAAAATTTGTATGATTTTCACGTGTAATAGATAATTGAACTAGATTCTATGAACTAGATATTATGTTTATAGTTTATATTTTATACCCAGGTGAAAACAGTATGTAAGATCTGACTCCAGATCTGGCATCAGATCTGGTATAAGATCTGAGAAATGTGCACCAGATCTGATAACAGATCTTGTATTCGATAATCAACATCAGGACTTATATCAGATCTGACATCAGATCTAAAGCCAGATCTGAAGTGACTGTATTGCATTTAATTAATTAAACAATAAGTTTATTAACAATTAAAATCGTAGAACAAATTTAGTTATATCTTAATAATCACATCGATAATATCTTTAAGAAAAATTCCTACAATATTTAGGTTTCTGATAATGAAAATTTAAATTGATTCAACAACTTTTATTATTAAGATTTATTACAAAATTTTAATTATTAATAAACTTATTGTTTAATTAATTAGAGGCAATGCAGTCATTTCAAATCTGACATTAGATCTGATGTCAGATCTGATATAAGTTCTGATGTCGATTATCGAATACAAGATTTGGTATCAGATCTGATGCCAGATCTGGAGTCAGATCTTACATACTATTTTCACCTGGGTAGTTTAGATTTGGAGCAATAACAAAAATATTCATTGTATTTTTAATTTGTTTTTTATTTTATATAATCATTTTCAAGTTATATCACACAATACTGTCCTCGTTTTGACCTGTAGCCGCCAAACATAAGCGCCACAAATCTGCATTAGTAAAATCTTCGAGAACAAGTTCGCAACATTCAATAGGAAGACGATATTGTATCATCTCATAATAAAAGATCGTTGCCCAAGGCCGCAGAAATCCTCTCGCTAATTTCTCGAACAGATTCAAAGTACAAGCCTGATTATAAGACTCTTCTGGAAATTCCATCGACAACTTGTACGATTCAGCAAGCTCGAGGTAATCTTGATACGTGAATGATTTTGCGGCCTCTTCGGGTCGCAACTCCATCAGATCATAGAGTGTGGGTCCCTCCTCATCTTTGATCTTTATCTCTTTTGCTCTGCTCGTGAACTCTTCGTCGTCATCCCAACACTCGGCCAGATCCGTCGACTTCTCGAACAATTTGAGCTTGGCGAAATATGTCATGATGGTCAGGGCGTCGCTTCGATTAAGCTCGTAGCCTCGGTCTTCCAAGCGGTCGATCACGATCAGGGCGTTGGAGGCCAATTCGAGCAACGTAGTATCGCAATATTTTAACCTCTGATCCGCGTCGCTCAAGTGAATGTAGTCAGGAAAGACAAAACGAGCCAGATCGGCTCCATGATCAAAGAGTAAATCCACCACATCGGACTGGAGGGTTTGCACGGCTAATTGAAGCGGCGTTCGACCTAATTTGTCCTTGGAGTCGACGTGGAGCACTTGCTGGAGGTCGTCGTTGATTTCGAAAAAGAATTCGGCCATTCCGCTATCGTAGGCTTTGATGCACATCTCGTGCAGAGGCGTCAATCCTTCGCCGTTGGCCAAGTTCGGATCTGAACCGTTCCTCAGCAGCACTTCCAGAACTTCATCTTGATCGAAGCGCAGAGCCAAGTGTAGCGATGAGTCACCGGTCTTGGATACAAGGCAATTGAGATCTAGCCCGAAATCGATATACCTTTTCACTGCCTCTACCCATCCAGCCTTGCAGGCCACGTGAAAGTGGTTATATCCGAACTCGTCGACGTAGTCCACGAAGCTCTCGTAAATCGAGAAGAGGTCCTCGACTGATTTCCAATCAGTGATGTTCACCGCAAGATGTATCGGGGTAGTGCGACGTGACCATGGCTTGCCGTCTTTACCGACTTCGGGTTTGACTTTGTAGCCGCTGCGAGCCACAAATTTGACGAATTTTACGGCATTTTGTTTTTCTTCGCGGCTGGACCGGTAGTTGCTCAAGAGTCTTATGCAATCCGAGAGAAGGCACTCCATCTGCTCGGGACGAAAAATTTCCTGGATATTTGGAAGCTGGCACGTTTCATCCTCGAATAAAGGATGAAACTGACTCATCAGTTGCCGTCGCTCTTTCTCGATCATCCAATCAATCCGTTGTCCCATAATTTCTACTTTTTTCAAGCAATTTTGATTATTGTGAGCCATCGTTCGGATAAATCACACACACACACACACACACACAAACACAGTCGCTAATACTTCAAGATTTTTTTTTGTCAAATAAAACCACGTGGTGCTGTTAGAGCGGTTAGCTGGTTAGAGCGGTATATATTCGTTCTTTACGCTGCCACGTTCACGGTCAAACTGATTTTAGAATGTATATAGAACACGTATTACGTGGGCGGGAGTAAAAAATTAGACCGTAGCACCAACTGCGCATGTCTCGTTAGATCAAACGCGTACCTACTAAATACGGTTTTGTTACCGTTCCAACGCCGTTTACCGATTTAAAAAATTCGCAAGATTCGCTGAGATACAGCTGTTTTTGCACGGTGCATTTTTGAGCTTAAATTCGGCTTCGCTGGTTTTTTAATGAATAGAGCTAGCTCAGAATTATTGAATTTTAAGCTTAAAAAATGCATCGTACAAAAACAGCTGTACCTCAGCGAATCTTGCGAATTTTTTAAATCGGTAAACGGCGTTGGAAAGGTAACAAAAAAACCTATCAGATATTTTCATGCAATTTTTTTCATGAGTGATTATACTCAGCCATTTTCTTGAAGAAACGAATATAATTTTTCATTTTTCCATTTATTTAATATCGTTTTTTGGGATAAAGTTGTATTTTTCTGTATTAAAATAATTTCAAAGTGTATACTAATTTATACCATTGGATTCGTCATAAAAAATCCTAAATTTTGGTAGTGTCAAAAAATTTTCGAGCCATGTTCACATTTCGGAATGATAAATATTCGGAATTATGAATATTCGGAATGTGTAAAATTCGGATTGTTTGAAAATTGGAATATTGAAAACGGAACATGAAAAATTCGGAAAAACAAAATTTCGGAATAAAAAAATTTCGGAAAAATTAAAATTCGGAATCCACAAAATTGTTAGTGGGAAATTTTATGATCTATATTTTCCACTAATAATTTTGTGCATTCCGAATTTTAATTTTTCCGAAATTTTTTTATTCCGAAATTTTGTTTTTCCGAATTTTTCATGTTCCGTTTTCAATTTTCCAATTTTCAAACATTCCGAATTTTACACATTCCGAATATTCATAATTCCGAATTTTACACATTCCGAATATTCATAATTCCGAATATTTATCATTCCGAAATGTGAACATGGCTCAAATTTTCTAGATTTTTTTTTATTCATTTGCCGCTCGCTCGAAAATGAACTTTGCAGAATTTGCAAAAAAAAAACAATCGAAAAAGTGTATTTTTTTGAATGAAATTGTGCTCCTAGGTCAAAATTGACTACGGCATTCGATTCTGGAGACAAAAACACATAAGAAAATGTATTGTCAAGATTATTTTTACACTCTAAACAGAGTTTGAAATAAATCGAATGATACCCCGATTTTGCTTCTTTTCTGGAGCACGTTTTTAAATTTCAAAAATCCATCGACACCATCTAAAATCATTTTTTTGAGTTTTAGTTTACGGGAAAATTCATTTTAAACCTCAAACTTTCTGATTCCGATGGATCCCCCGAGATACAAAAAATTTTTGAAAAAGTGGACCACCCTAATGAAAGGCCGTACATGGACCACGCGGAACTTCGGGTCGGAGAGTGGGATAATATAACTATACTAATTTCTTCGTCTCACGCTGCCTAGCGGCAAACTTAGAAACTGCTTATAACTACTCATGTTGAGTGTTCGGAAGAAGTATACGTGACCCCCCTGTGCTATAGTTTCAAAGGTTCGTTCTGAATGTTACGAGAAGTGGGGTGCATTTTGCAAAGACGTAAAACGCCAGAAAATGCGAAAAAAGAAAAAATATAACTCGCAAAGCATACGAAGAAGACTCGCACAAATGGCTGTATCTCAGTAAAAATCTAAAAATTTTGAAAAATACTATGACAAAGAGCGAAAAAATCATACCCAAAAATACAATAAAAATCCTATTTTTTAAGCCTTCTTCGAGCCCTTAAATTATCAAAAAATCAGTCTCGATAATTTATCTATATACCAATGAAAGTGCACTGTATTATCTATCTCGTTTCATCAAATAATCGTGTTTCCTCGAGCATTACACTTGTTGGCTTTCACTTTTCGTTTGTATTGTATAAAAAAGCAGATTGCAGCGTATTATATAGTTGGCGCGCTCTCGGATCGGCATGCACCCGACATTTGTGCACCAAGAGGTGTATATTATTTTATGTATAAAGCTATTATGTATATTTCGGCGGATCTCGTATATACTTACCCGAACGAAAGAAATCGGCGAGCCTCGCGTCGCCGCGTGTGCCGCAATGGAAAACATCGACCCTCTCTCTCTCTTTCTGCTCTCTGCTGTGCGACGTTCACTTTGTCTTTCTCCTCTCGCGCACGTGGTCTCTCGAGTGCCACACATTGTCATGTAATAACTGTATATAAGGATGAACGAGTAAGAAATACATACTGCACCTTCGTTTACCGATCGGAGCGCGAGGGTTCACCGCGGCATGGGTCTCCTTTGAAATTTTTTCGCCTTCTCTCTTGAAATTTTTGCAGCGCGCGCGCATATCTTCGAGAGGCGAACTACTATACGTGTTTCGGATGAACCTGATGTGCAGCACGTTCGAATTAGATGACGCAAATAAAAGTGACTTCGCGTGTATCGTGTGCTCAGTGCAGCGTGCACTCGCTTCGATCGGAGGACTTTTACTTCAAATACGTGTTATTGCGAGGCGCGCATTGTATTTGTACAACGAAGGAGGCGACGAGGGCACGGCAGATGATCATCTTTGTCCTTTTGACTCGAATCGACGAGAGAGAGAGAGAGTGAGAGCAGCGTATAGAGGTCCAAGTATAATTCCGACGATAACTTTGAATTCAATCGATACGCGTGGCGGCTATGTAATTTAAAAGTCGCGTAATGAATTTATCGCGTGTGCACGACCTTGTACTAGTCAGGTCATTTATTTTTACATAAGAAAATCAGAAATCGAGATTAATCGTTGTTACTCGAGTCGAGAGAAAATCGTTTTGAGATTAACATTAAAAAGTATAGACGTTATCCTTTTCTTTACGATCGATTTATACGTTGTTGTTGCTTTTTTTTTCAATCGACGAGCGAATCGTATAACATTTTTTTCTTCAATGTCAACAGTGAAAATGGTGTCCAATTAGTACGTTTACGTACAAAATTTATGGGAAAAATATGGAAAATGATGGGTTTCATTCAAGCACGTAAACCATTGCAGTGTTATTTTTTTTTTGTTCAATTCTTTATTTATTTTAACCTCTTAAAGTCTATAAATTTTAAGTTATATAATATATGTATCAAACAGCATAGGTGTCATCAAATTAAATAGCTCTATACACTTATATTCATACATGTTGTATACATATACACATGTATACATATAAATATACTCATTAAGTTTCAACTAAAAAAAAAAATAAATAAAAAAATAAAAATAAATGTATAAACAATAGAATAAATAAATCATACCTCAAGGTAATCATGCGACGTGTTACAAAAGATGTTGAGACAGCGTGAATAATTTTCATAATATAGTAATCATTGAATTGATTTAGCGCTAGTTTTATTGGTTTTCCAATTATAAATTGTTCTCTTTGACAATAAAAATTGTTGAAATTTTTTTTTAATGTACTCGCGTAATACACATATGTCATAATTATAATTATTATATTGTTTCTCGGTCCAGCCACGCGTCTCTCGACGGATCGCGAGGCTACCGAATGTAAAAAGTGTCCATTGGCCGACACGAATGAGTATAGAAATGAAAAAAAAAAAAATTTGGTTGGAAAATTTCAATAATATATTCCGTAGCTTCGCGATCCTATAGACGGTAGGACCAATACAATCGCCTGCCACGTTTGGGCAAGGGACCAGCAATTGCGGTCCAACAGCGATAATAAAGCTGTGATTGGCTGAAACAATATGTATAGAATGACACGCGTTGATCAAAGTACCTTTATTTTTATTTTTAATTTAATTTTTTTTTCATAAAACGATCTGATCAAAATGTTTAAAAAATGTCACCAAAAAGCTGGATGGATGTGATTACGCGATCTTAAAAGTTCATAAATGAACGAATAATCAAAGCGTGCCATAATTTTTATTATATTGTATTATTTTATCATAAATTCGATTCAAGAGCCTTATACCACAGTTTATATTGCAGTAATATTGCCATCTCATTCTATGAGACAACAGCTGAATAAGGTAGTTATTCTTTTTTTTTGTTCTCTATATCATCATGTGCCTTTGAATAAATAACTATTCAAAGAAAATCTTTTGATTATATTACTTCTTGTCAAATGGCAAACTGTATGCTTGCGCACCGATATATCATGGTGATTGTAGTAGCAAAACTATTAATAGTAAAAATCAAAAACAGTCGATCACAGAGAAAACTATGAGTTTTGTTCTTCAAGCGTATGGAATTTAATTTAGATCATTAATTTTACTTCGATTCGAAATTTTCATTAAAAACGTACGAGTGAACGAGCATAGTCTGCATCATTTTAGCAATATTTCCGTTGTATTTTTTGGTTGCAGTTTTTCCTTCAGCCTATTTAATATATGTAAACAATGTAGGGTATAATACGTACAGTTTCAAAACAGCGCGTACCGACGTTTTCTTTATTTGCTTTCGACGTTGTCGACTTAGTGAGAGCCCAGAACACATTGCTTGTGCCTTTTTATTTTCGTCGCCATTCATTCTAACACTGACATTATTATTATTATGTATTTTCAAGCCAATTTCATAATTTCAATATATATTTTATAAAGTAGCATCAACCATAAAAGAAGTGAAACTCGTCTCGATCGAGCCATAGGAAGAAGAGCATAAAGTGTATGAATTGTACTCGACTAAAGTTGAAAGCCAATTATCGTTGAAACAACGTCAATCATTGGAAAAGGAGTCACTTTCGCGATTTTCTCATTTGCAAACGTATATATCCTGGTGTCTCTAGGGTTATAAGCGCGAGAATCGAAAAGGAGGGAAGACAACGAATGCACGCGCACGAGTAAAAAGTCACGTGTGTGGTGACTATGTCAATAGTCACTTTTCTTTGTATTATACGTTTTTTTAACTTATAATTTATTATGCCCGTCTCGCTTTCAAGTGAGTATGAAAAGAGTCTAGTTAAACACTCTCGTGCTTATGTCGATTAATACATTCGATTCGTATGAGTTGCGACTATAGTTTTTTTCTTGCACCGAGAATATCTATCGAGATTCATTTTAAATTTTTTTTTATCAAATACGATGCATATATTTGGATTACGTTTTGAATAGTTAGAATTATAAGGTTAATATTCTAATGCACATAAATATTATGTGACATCGGTCTATAAACAATTTCGAATTCTTTACTCATTGTACATATCGACAATTGTACTATAACTACTGAAGTTATCTAATTCATGAATTTTTATAAATACAACACATATAAAGCAAAACTATGCGAGAACAAATATGTGCTTGTAACAATATCTCAACTAGACACAAGCTAGTTTTAAAAATTGAGTTCATTTGTTGTGTTACGATGAACGCAGAGTAATTATTATTTATATTTCAACAACTGAATAAAACAACAAGTGCTTGGTTTTCGGCACTTCGAAATTCGATAAAAAATGTTAACGGAAATAAAAAGAAAAAAAATCATTCAGTTAATATTGATTCCTTTACACTGTACAGATACAATTTAATGAGGGTAACAATATATTTATACATATTTGTTATAGATATATAATTCATTCATAATTACGTATAATTACAACAAAAACGTTCGCTTATCATCGAACGTATACGTGAGTTGATTCGCTAAAAAGTCACCCATTGGATTATTATTTTTAAGTATGTACAGAACACACTCGCGGTGAACGATGCACCACAATTCACCCGATAAAATAAAAATAATACAAAGAGAAAAGTTAAAAAAAAAGAAAAAGAAAAAATTACAAGAGTGAACGTGTAAAAAGAAAAGGTATACAACTCGATGAACGAACTCGGTGCAAGCATTAAATGTAACCAATCCAATATTTACTACGCTTTAATGATTAAATATATATATATTGACAAAAAAGTGAAATAGTTAATTGGAAAAAAAATCGATCAACGAACTAACCTGCAAGTTGTTTATCTATATATGTACATTAGTGGAGCAACGTGAGAAGTTAAAACAATTTACACGTCACTTGTTCAATACACGCACTAAGGACGATGCACTCTATCGACCCCACAGTTATTTTATAAATCGTCAAGTCGAACACTCGAGAGCCGAGTAAATATATTCGTATATAATCATTTACATACTGATCATTATTATTAATTATTTATAGTATTACTCAACAGTCACGATCGCGATTCGAAAAACAGTAATCACACACGTAATGCTCTTCTATCGTCAAAGTTAATTCAAGTAATATTATTATTTATATAGTACGTTATATATATAAGCGATTAATAATCATTAATTCATGATATATTATATTTAAAAGTAAAACAATGAGTATTTGCTAACTTCTGTGTTTCTTGGCTGGCAATCGCTGCTCTGCTTAGTGGTTCTGTACCAAGGTCGATAGACAAGGGGGTATTTGAGCACACGTTGATGAATTCCATGTTTTCGATGACCTCACAACAATAGTAGTTCATTTACATTAAAATATATTTATTGCAGGTCTCGTTTCTTTCTTGTTTCTTTTCTCTCTCTCTCGCTCGCTCTATATTCACTCTCATTCCGTCGTCTCGTGGATGTGAATCGTGCGAACAGCCCCCGGGTAAAAAAATGAGAAACAAACTCATTTCACTTTTTTTTCTTCACACTTTGTTATCGTCGTCGTTGTCATCGTTATCATCCTCGTCGTCGTCGTCACGCAAATTGACTAAAAAGCTTCGAGAGGCGCATGTTCAATGTTTCGTTTTTTCTCGCTGAATATTTTTTCCCTTTCTTTTTTTGTTTGTTGCTTCGTCTCTTTAGGGTCTAGCCCAGAGCACCAAATGCACGGGGGCTGGCGGAGCCACGACAGGCGGCCCAGGATCGGCGGCAAGCACTCTCATGGCTGCGGCTGCCGCGGGTGGCGATCATCTGAAACGTGGATGCATCATGGGCGCCAGCATCGGCCCGCCGGGGAAGCCCATCGGATTGGCCGCGGCTGCAGCTGCGAATGCCGGATGCATCGCGCCCGGTGGCAGGCCTCCTATCATACCTGAAAACACACGCAAACTCGGATCAGTTTTCGCTCGGAGCAATGCGAATCTTTCGACTTTCTTTTCCTTATTCTTTTCGATTTAAAACAAATTACTCGTTTTTTTTTTTTTCATCGCGAAACTGTTAAATATTTCATGTCAAAATAATTGATCATTTTTTCTTTCCTGCTTTAAATTACTCATTATTTTGATAATAATCAATTGCAGCCATTCGACTGAATATTGTGTGCATCGATATATGAATTATGCACGCACTCGTTCATCAGTCGAGGAGGCAAATCTCGCTGAAAACGCACATCTCGCTGCTCACACAGACAAATATAATAATAATATAGATTTTTCAAAGAGGCGTGAAAAAAATTCTGCTTGTGATGGAATATATATAAAAAAAGGTTCATTGATCCAAAAAAACTACTGATTGGCACCTATTCGTGCGCTAAACAGCAAAGTGTCGAGGTACAAAAAAAACTGTTTACTTACAGAATCTTTTACAGCCTCAGAGATATCACTCTCGTAGCAAAAGTATAATTAAAATACTTCAGAGGTGCACTCTGCTTTTTTTTTTCTCTCAATTTCGTGTAATTATGTATGTATTGACAGTGTGAGTGTACTAATTGAATCAATTTTTTTTTAATATACTTACGTAACGTGATAACACCGACGAAACTATTTTTATGGTTTCGCAAGTGTTTACCAACGTTTGGATTTATTAAGAAAAAAAGTTCGCGTGACAGCCGATTTTAGGCATTCATTTTCACTTTATTCAAAATTCTATGCTGAATTTTTTAAGACAAAAATCATGAACTCAATGATAAAATATAAAAAGATTGCTAACAGTACCTTTCTACCATAATCATTATGATGGTTGTAAAGAAAACCAAAAGAACAACTAATTATAGAAAATCTATTATACCAATAACCATTGAAAAAAGCATAGAACCCGGCAAAAACTTCACTCGTTCGTGATTTTTTTTCAAAAATCAAAGTGTCTGACATGCATGACGAAATTATCTGTGCTTGTATTCGAAAAAAGATCAGAAAAACACCACCATAACAAAGTACACAGATTACAACAACAAAAAAGTAACACGGAAAATATAATTGGAAATTCAAATAAGAGCTACTGTACACACGCAAAAATCACACAAAAATGTTCCCAACACCCGACGCATATATAACAGAGAGAAAAGTCAATCCATCGGCTGTCACGCGTACATTTTTTTTTCATCCCTTTCTCATCGTACCTCGAACTTGTTTTTTGTTTACTTTGATTCGCACAAAGTACGTATAGCTATTGATAATAGAATAAAATTCTAAAGGCATTACACAGTATAGAGACCGAGCACAATAGTATAGTGGGTCGTGTTTCGACGAGACAAAGTTTTGTCGGCTAAAAATTTACAGAGCAGAAGCAAGAGCGCAAAACTTGGCCTCGATTCAAACTCGGCTTCATCAATATTTCATGATATATATATTTTTCTGTGCAAAAATTCGACGCGATCAACAGAAAAAAGGTAGTAATAGTAGTATTAGGAGTAGTATTTGTAGAGGTAGTAATATTAATATAGTAGTAGTATTTAAGTAGTAAGAGAAGAGATAAAGTTATGGAAAAAATTTGTTGTTAAATATTTTTTCCATCCGGTTAGTATAAATGGCAAGTATATAACAGTATATTCAAATTAAATTAAAAAAAAAAAGAGCAATATGAGTAAAAAATAAATCTAAGTAGGATAATAGTACTTGGTATAACGTGAATTCATTTACTTACTGTCGTTCGGCTCGACTTATCTAAAAAATCTTTGATATTTGTGAGAGACACAGAAGCTATTATCAAATCAATATTAGACCTTATGGTAATTAACTGTAAAACCTTTTTTTGTTCAAATCATAAAAATAAATAACGTGCGTGAAAAAAAAAGTCAATAATGATGTTTTTTTTACTTAAATAATACGTCACAAGTAGATTGTTATTTTATTCACATTGAGTGTGCGTCATTTGATGTTGCAAATTTTTTTTCACGAAAAGTACCGTGTGAGTTAGAAAATTCGCTGGTTTTTTTTTTCATTCAAATACATAAGGCATAAGCATTTGATGTATTAATAAAATTAAGTGAGCCAACATTTGCAATATAATATTTTGTGTGTAATTGTTTTAGTGTAGCTACTTCAGTCAACTTATGTTTAATATTAGTATTAGTCATGACATAAATAAGCTTTCTACATTCATTGCTTTTTCTATTAAAAAAACTCATCCCCTTTCAAAGATATTTATGAATATCACCTAATACCTAGAGTAGGCTATTATAATTGATAACCTAACTCTTAAAAGAAATCATACAAAGATGAATATGAAATACTTAAAGCAAAATAAAAAATCTCTACTTACAAAAATTTTGTTTTTATCGTATTTGTATTTATGACCTACTCGAGTGATTTTCAACAAAACATGATCTTGTGTGAGAGTGCAATTTATTAAAATAATTGCCACCCTCTGTCAAAATCCATTGCCATTGGTCCAAGACCACGATGCAAATTTCCAGACGTTAAGTGGCCATGAGATGACCAAGAAGAAAAAAAATTAGTTACAACATAAAAAGCTTGAACGCAATATATATCTCTACTAGTTTTTAACAGTTAGATAAAAGTGATTTTTGTTCAGTAAATAATTAATGTACTTGCCAAATGCCTGTTCTAACAGTCAATTATGTCTTCGGATAAAGAAAGGTTATCGCTGTATCTAAATATATATAGATTTATAAATTTTTATATATACAAAAAGAAAAGTTTCAAGTGCCATGTATATATTAATTATAATGGAAAACGCAAGACTTGGTAACAAAAACAAATATGCAGCACAAAGACGGTCAATTTCATGAAAAAATGTGCATCGATTCTCCGAAAGAAAATCAACAGCATGAACAATAGACTAACAGAAACCTCATGAAAGAAAATCATACAAAAACAATAACAATTTATCATTAATATAGTAATGGAGCTTTACCGTGCCCAAAGAAAGCGCTCACCACTACTACTTTATATATATAGATCACAACACCAGGAATTTCAAGCTACCAGTTAAATTTTCAGACAAAAATGAATACAAAGATTACAGGTTATACATACCAAAAATAAATTCATTGAAAATAAAAATGATCAAACAATGTATGTTAAATGAGTGATACAAAACAATATAAAAAATTAAAAAGTAATTAAAAAGAGCAAAAAAAAAAAAACCAAATGGGTGATCGAGCATCTGTTGCACTTGAATTTATCATCAAAATTACGTACAGTAGCAAATTTTAGTAATAATAAAACTATATAGTAAGCAACCTGGTAGATAGATGATTGGAGCAGAAAAGTATTGATTAATAATCAGCTGCTCGACACAATTAAAACAAAGTAAGAACTGAGCTTTTAATAAACATGGCAAACAAGAAATTATGTTTGTGAACTCTCACGATGTATATAAATAGCAATAATCAACAATGGTGTAATGAGACAGGTGATTTAGAAGTATAATGGAATTAAATATAATAGTTGAATAATAAAAAAAAGATATACATAGGCCATTTCACCGCATGCTAAGTTGCTAAGGACCAACCTTGTTGAACTTGTCTAAAACACGAGTTTTAGTAACCAGAGACCGGATTTGCGGTTTGAGACACTCATCGATGAGTGACAGGGTATCCTGCAAACGCACCGTTATATATCGTCAAAACGTTTGTTTGTTTGTTTTTTTAAGTGACTCAAAAAACCACGTACGCGTTTGTGTTATTCAATTAATTCTGTCACTTATTCAATTCTTCAAACGCGCTGGGAAAATGTTCATGTCAAAGGCATTGACATTTTACCGTCTAAGAGATGCGTCATCGAACCCTTCTCCATCTTTCGACTGAAGAAGGGTTGGACTTGAGATCGTAAAGGTAGAAATAAAAATGTGCAGCTTGTTTTGAAGCTATCAAGACCGACTCGAAAGTAATGTATAAAATACTGTGTATATATAGTGAAAGTCGTTCTTTGAACGATGTAGACACAATCGCGTAAAGAAAAAGAGTAATATAGCAATATAAACAATCATATAATATGCACAGTAGTATATAATAAAAAAATACGAGCTTATTATATCAAAAGTATATAAGTGAGAGTATATAAGGGTAATCGAGAGGACGACGAACATGGATTATATATCATATTATACAATGAAAATCGTGTGATAATCGTTGTCATATTTTCCATCATTTTTTTTTGTTTTAAAATTTTTCAAAAATTGAAGAATCAAATTGTAATGATCGAAAGAGTTAGGGCGACGGTAATAAACGTTTTTTTTTTTTTTTCGTTTTTGTCTTTTAATCGTAGCAGAATCGAGGAGACTTACCTGGTGGCAGGCCCATGGGGGGCGGACGCATCATGTTACCTCCATGAATGAGGGCAGGTGCGGCCAGGGTCATCGTGGGCCTCATGAGCGGCGCCATGAGCGCGACCGAGCTCACGGGCATCGTCATCTGGGTGGATACTTGTGGCATCGCCATGACCTGTGGCCTGGGGAAGCGCTGCTGCTGTTGCTGCTGCTGCTGCTGCTGCAGCGCACTGAGTGCAGCCTGCTGGCGATGCTGCTGATCTTGGAAAGCCGCCACCGCCGCCGCCGCCTGCTGCTGCTGTTGCTGCTGGTGGGCGTGTTGCTGCGCCTGCTGCTGGGCCTGGTGAATGGCCGCGCTCGTCATTGCCGCGGCCGTCGACGTTGTTATCGTCTGAGGCCCGCTCGAGCAATTGTTCTGATCGTCCTTTCGGCGCTGATATTTCGGCAATCTCGCTCGTATTTCCTCCTGTAATATCAAAATCACTGTTAGCGAATCCAATTCAATATGATTATGGCAAAAATTGAACAATTATTCGTAACGTTTCCGACTGCAGGCTTAATTATACCAAAATGTTGTGTAGATAATTGGTTCTAATTTTTTTGTGGCCCAGTAACAACAATTTCAGTACAATACATTTTATCATGAAATTCTTACCTATGTGACAATAGCAAGAAAACTTATGAAAAAGAAAAGAGTGGAGAGCTAGAATTTATGTTGAAATCCACATCATTCATATCAAGTTGTAAACAAGCTTCATGAACAAAGATGAATGGAACATTCGATGAAAGCGATATCAAATCAATGGTATACTTTTACACCTAATTCAAGCCTTCATACGTTCTATTTTGCACATGATTTACTTTTCTACTTTTATCTGATTAAGCATATGACAATTTAAGCTTACAAAAGTATCCTGCAGTAGATGCAATGCGTTCAAGAGAAAATTTCCATGTTAATCATCAATATTACACAAGTTCAATTATAAGTGTTATCCCTTGTTAATCATGAGATAACATTTTCTAGCTTACTACAATCAAGTTTATTCTTCTGATTTTAATATTCTAACTATAAAATAATTTTATCAATTTTTAAACACATGGTATTTCATCGATATTATTTATAGCACTAAGATATACTCTCCGAATTTTTCAATAGTTGTCTTTTACTTGGAATGTTTAACAAAAGTTTAGAATTACTGCATCAAGAAAATATTTTACATTATATATCATGAGAAAAAACTGCATATTTACCAAACTAAGATCTTCAGCAGGATGAATTATTTTACTTGTAGCACTCGTGGTGGCTATCATTGCAACTTTATCACCAACAGAAGCATTCTGATCAATATTGCTATACGCAGGGAAAGTTGGTTTCACAGGACCAATTGAACTTCCCGCCATAGATGTAATAGGCTTGAAATCAGCTCCTAGTGGAGCAGAAGCTGTAGATGCTGCAGATGAAACAGCTGTAGCACTTGGGAATAGTGGCCTTGTAGGACCGCTTGGTGGCATACCTGGGGGAGGCATTCCAGGTACCATCCTAAAATATTTTAAAATAATTGTTTAATTCTCAAGAACTTTATTTTTACTAATAATGATAAGTCAAACCAACTTACCCGTGGCCCATAAAGCCTCCCATGTGTTGCATCATACCGGGCATTCCTGGAAACTGCATTCCAGGATGTCCAGACATCATATTAGGAGGCATAGAGCCAGGAGCTGTCCCTAAAAGACCTTCAGGTTTAATCTTCTTAGGAGCAGGCTCATCTTCACCAGAACTGGGAGAACCGGCTCTACCATTTCTTTGTTTTTCATGATCTTTCAAATCATTTGCTGGAATACCCTCCATACCATAAATCTCTACCTCAATATTACTTCGATTGGGTAGAGCATTGGGGACTTTGTCAATTGTTTCTTTGTGAACCTTGAATGACATTGGAAAATCAATTTTTATCCTTTGAATTTTTAAATGCTCAACAAATCGCCATAGTTTTGAGTATATTTACCTGCATGCAATGTATACTCAAGCCAGGTCCTGTATAGAGCTTTTTGTGACAAATATGACACTTAAAGTGTTTAGCTTTTTGGTGCTGAATAAGAATTTTTTCGTCATCAAATTCTCTGTTGCAATACCTGTATTAAATTTTTAATTAAGGAAAAATAGATTCATCAAGTAGACTTGATAGTCGTGACTCCAACCCTTGAATCGAACCTCGAGAGACCCATTTAATCTCCCAGATGCATAGCATTAACGTAACGAGGCATGCCTACATAACTCATTGGCTTTTAAAATTCTATACGTCAATGAAAGAGAAGCACGAGCTGTAAAGGCTTTCATTAAAACGTTCACCGACTCTGTACTCTCTCATATCCCCTCCATGTACTTAATTTTTCACTCGCTTAATCTCCAATCTTTTTATCTACCCCGTTCGCTCGCTCGCTCGCGCGCGTGCGAGCGAGAGCGAAAGCAGATCTCCACGTACCTATATATTCATTACAATATGTTTACAAATTCTTTCGGAGTCGCGCGTGAAAGTTACAACTAGTCGACATTCTTGCACGAGCGGAGAGATACATGCCCCCAAAGATATATATACTAAAGCCTCGCGTCATACAAAATTTGCAGCGTCCAAGTTCCCTTTTTTCTATCGTATAAGCGACGATATATATATACACGTTATATATATAATGTAATCCGCGATACTCTATATGCATATATATACACCTCTACTATCTCCGTCTCCCTCCGTCTCGCGCCGTGCTAAATCTAGGAAAAATCGATTGTGTCTGCCTTTGCCGAGACTCGTCGGGGGCAAACGAGTGTACGCGCCCTCGCGTGTAATAATGCACATACATAGCGTGCATTCGATGCACCAACACTTACACATACAAACACACAAGCGTATACAATAGCTCGGCGTATGTATGCGTACGATTCTCACAGAGAGAGACGCACACGCGCGCGAGCGTGCCAAAATGAAACTTATAGCCTCTAATAATGGATTAGCCACACCACCACGTAGATACACAATACATATCGAGTCGTCGTCGTCGTCGTCGTTTCGTTATGTAAATTAAAAACGATGCGCTGCCGAGGGTTTTGTCACTCGATGTTATTATTATTCGTTGTTTTTTTTTCGTTGTTCGATCAGAAAAAGGATACCAGCACCATGGCCTCGACTGCTTCTTCTTCTTGCGACCCATCTTGTCTCTGTGTGTCGTGTGTTATTTAACGTTCAGTAGCTCCGCGGAGATAGAGGAGCCTCTCGAGCACCAAAAACTCTCTGTCTGTCTGTATACTCGATGACACGACGACGAGCCAAAAAAAAAAAATGACAAGGCCCTGTGTGCGCGATACGTGTGCTGCTGCTGGCTGCACCGTTGACTCGCGCGATGTGCCACACAACAATTATATTATATAGGTGCTACACACTCGGGAGGCTCGAAGAACCGCGATGCAAAGCACACACCACCGTCTGCGGAATGAGAGGCACAGCAGGCACCACCAGCACAGGCACACAGTCACAGTGCAATGTTGTAATGTATATATGTCGTAGTTGCGCCCAGCAAAATGTCCGCTACTTTGATACACGCACACTCATGCACACAAGCACTTACACACTTATTCGCGACTCGGAGTCGCGCTTGTGTATTAATATCCTATGCGCAGCGTAGCCAACTTATAAACTGAGACACGCCGGCGCGCCTGCGGCAAGTTGGCATTTCTGGATGAGTTTTTGTTGAGAATTTTACTTTTTCTTCGCAAATAATCGTAACGTTTTCCAATATTTTACATCTTTATTCGATGTCTTTAACAAATGCACTTCAAAATTTATTATTCATCGCATAAAAATTGTCAAAGTTTTTGTTTTGGTTGACCGTCCTGCAGCGCAGCTCACGGCGCAGCAACGAACGAGTCACAGACAACGCAGCAGCGGCGCCGTCACGGTCGATAATTTTGTCCTCGTCGTACGGAACGCGCGAAATTTTCAAAATCACCGTTACGATATCATTTCTTCCGATATAAGTCCCTCCGACTAAGCATGATCAAGCGCGAAAAAATACATACTAAATCAATACAAACTCGACGATAAAGTTTCGAAATCTTTCGCTGCGGTTTATCTCTTTGTCAACGTTCGAACCTACGTTTGTTTACTATTTGAAAATATATATGCACTAAGCTAAGAGATCAGTCGTAGTACACACCCGTTGCAGCCGAGTGCGTGCGTGTGTGCTGCCGAGAGCGCATTAGAATTGCAAAAATCGTCCGATACGGATTTAGCAATCGTCATTAAGTTGGCCTTCGAGCGGCTATTATAATAACATGTGCGGACGCGCTGCACACATGTGCTCGGGGGGCATATAAATCGAGAATCGATCGCGCGATATGCCACAAGTGTAATGTAACAAACACACAACAGGCCACGCACGACACATAACACAAATAAAATTCGCAGTGCTGAGATGGACGAGTCAGAGAGTAAACGTCAGCTCGCCGTTATTGCGTCAGTTTCGAGACGAATTTTACGACGAAAGCCAGAAAAATGTTGCTGAGCAATTACAAGAGGACCGTGTACTATCTGAAATCGTCGGGTGCCTGTGTCATAGTGCTGAGGTGATTATATGCAGGCGGATTGTCCGATGGTGTTTGTTTGGTTATGACGACGGTTTTTTTCGTAAAGCCTTAGTTTGTTTGTTTTCGTTTTTGCGCAGTGGATGCTGGCTGCTGTACCAGATCAAAAAGTCCACCTCGCTCTTTCGATCGATTTTGCCCACGAAAATTTTAAATTTGGAGAATACCCAGGCCCACTACATCTACATCGATGATCCGCGATTTCAAGGTATTGGAGAGCCCGAAAATAAACAACATCGGGTGACGTTTGCAGTCGACCGAAATTATGAATGAAAAGTGTCACTTACACGCGTTTTCATTGTTTTACAGATATCTCCATGTTCAATCATTTCGATGATTTGCAAAAATACGTTCAAGAAAAGCCAAAAAACATATCCTACATAGTGACCAAATGGTGGAAGTACTTGAACAGACAATTCGCTCATCGATTGTTTCATTTGGCCAAGACTGGCGATAAGTTTGAAAAATTAAAAGCCTTGAATTCTCTTGTTTCTATGAAGCATTTGAAAGGTGAGTTTCCAAAGTCAGAACATTGTAATTCATACGGATGGAAAATACATAAATATTTTAATTCCAGATTGGCATTATAATACTTTTGCTCAACAGCTGGACGCTCAAACTGCAGTTGCATTGGCAAGAACTCCTCAAGCAGATTTAAGGTTTTTTCTGAGGCCTCCATATTCTTTTGAAAAAAACAGCGTATATGTAAAGTCCATATGTTTCTGAGAATATATTTTTTCATGATACTAGATGTTAAATTATTTTAACGTTCCAGGACATTGTTGAGAGTTTACATGATCTTCTAAAAAAATTGAATGCGCTGTGTGCTGGTTGTCACCCATGTCTTTTACAATTTCTTCACAAAAAGTTTCAAAATTTAAACAGAGTGAGTAATACATTTAATAAATTCTTTGATTTCTTCAAATACACTTAAATGAAAAACTGTTTGTAGGATTCCAGTTTTGAATTTGACTTATCCAGTTCAGATACTCCAATTGTTTGGGACAAAAATTTTATTTTTAACTGCATACAGGCCTTGCACCATCATTCGTCTTTAGAAGATCACAGTAAAGGTGCTTTATAAATTAAATTGAATTTTTTTTAAACATAACAGCTTTGAAAGATAATTATCATATCAGATACTACGATTTTTATTCAAATTCATTAAATGATATATAACTATTTCAGATGTTGCGGACGCTGGAGGATTAAAAATATTGATGAATATATATAAATTAGTTGGAAATGATATTGAGATATGTGCATTCATAGCTAAAATACTTTCAAATTTATCTTTATTCCCAGAATATTTAGAAGATATTTTTAAATCAGGTAAATATTTGAAAATGCAACTTGAATGCTATTATTTTTCATTCTCATAATTGATATATAAATGATGATACTGTTTAGGTTGGATTGGAGTATTAGCAGCTTGGTCCAGAAATGAAGACATAAGACTTGCATCACCAGCTAGTCGAGCATTAATAAATTTAGATTTCAATGATATCGAAGATGTGAGATTTCCTCAAAGAATTTATCCTCTATACCCACTGCACAGAACACCATATAAAAAGAATTTAGATGTTATATTTATACATGGTTTGCTGGGGGGTGTATTTGTTACATGGCGGCAACGCGATTTGAGTGCCTTAGTTCCAGTACCAAGTAAGTTACTACCTACTTCATTCTATGCAAGTTAAAAAGAATTTTTAAAAGAAATATTAATTTTCTTCTAGAATCGAAAATTAAGACAGATGTTTTGAGCGTTCGAAATATCGTTCAAGATTATCCTTCAGAATTCCTTAAAGATTTAGCTCGAGATATGGAAAAACGTGATTGGCAGCGTGTTGGTCATGATTTTGAAGTAATTCTTTCCGATTGTCCTGTCAACGTAAGGAACGCAGCATCTGGACCCTTCTTTTGTAAAGGGTAATCTATCGCATTTTCAAAATAAAAAAAAATTATATGAAGCATAATTAACATAATTATTATACAGAGATGATCGCTGCATGCAACAGAGCGAAAAAGATGCTTCCCGGCACACGCCGTGTTGGCCAAAAGATTGGATACCCGATGACGTTCCAAATGTGCGAGTACTTGGTTTGAACTATACCTCTAATTTGTCGATGTGGACTCCGTTGTGTCCTATCGAAGGCGTCAGGTAATTTTCACCATTTAACGTTATTAAGCACGACAATTGATGTTAAAATTTCGATAGGAGTACGATTAAAGATCGTAGCAGTGAATTCACGCGAAAACTATTGGTGGCTGGTGTTGGCCAACGTTCCATCATTTGGGCCTGCCATTCAATGGGTGGACTTTTAGTAAAAAAAATGCTCGTAGAAGGTAATAACACTATTTTCTTTAATAATATTTGTAAAAAATAAAAACAATTTTTAATTAACAATCTATTTTCAGAATGGAAAAATGGTGATAAAAGTAATTTAGTCCGAAATACCAAAGGAATTGTATTTTATAGTACTCCTCATCAAGGATCTCACGTAGCATCTCTTAATCAAACAACGCAAATGTTGGTTTGGCCGTCAGTTGAAGTTCAAGAGCTGCGTGAACGTAAATATTACGCAATCGTATAATAAGCTTAAAATTGTATGAATTCATTAATTCATCGTTGGAATATTTTTAGAATCTCCGCAATTATTGGAACTGCAAAAAGACTTTTTAAATATGCTGAAGGAGCATGAAATAGAAATCATTAGTTTCGGAGAAACAAAACCAACAAGGGTGACGGCTTTAAAAGTTCCTTTTATATTTGTTAATCCTGCTTCAGCTGGTTCGTTTAAATTCTTATGTTTTTATGTTTATTTTTTAATGTGAAGAAGTTTTTCACTTAATAATCAATAAAATTACAGATCCTGGAGTTGGCGAGTTCTTTGAAATACCGCAAGATCATCTGTCTATCTGCAAACCAGCAAATAGGTGAGTAATTCCCTTATGCACGTACGCAACGAAACAAACTCAGAGCTTGATGAATCAGTGTAATTTCCTTGCAGGCAATCATTTCTGTACCAAAAGGTTCTGTCGATGATCAAGCGTCACGTGACGCAGGATACGAATCAGAAGGATCAATGCTGGAAAAATTTATTCTCTTTCGCCGGACGTGTTCTGTAAATATAAGCCCAAGAAATGTGATCGACTTTCTCTCAACTGTCTGTAAATATCCTCTATCTTTATTTTCTTCGTTTGTTATCTAATATAAGTTTGGGTTGACGCTTCGATTGTGCCAAAAACAAAAAAAAAAAAGAAGTAGAAGAACTGACGAGACTGTTATTTTTTTAATAAAATATATTTAATGACATAATGAGCGTAACTATTATTATTACATTAGCCAAGATAAAAACTAAAACATTCGTAAACTTAGGATAAAAATAAATAATAATAAAAAAAATATGAGTATTTATTCAAGTTAAATCAATCGATATTATTATATACATTCAGAGAGAACTAGAGTTTGCCGATCGTTCATATTATCTTCATTCGTTCGATCGGTCAAACGCGCGTTTTTGATTGATTTTCTCGATCGAGTAAGTCATATACCGCGATCGTACAATTATAAAATAATAATAAAAAATAAAACACTTAACAGGACGGAGGAGTACAAGATAAAACGTAGTCTTTTTACACGAGTTAAAGGACGAGCAAACCTTATCCTACTGAATTACATAATTTTACTCGATAATCGAAATGTACTATCATTTTTTTCTACCGTTCTTACAATTCTTTCCGCAGCTTTTTACCAATCTCTCTCTCTCAAAAATGATTGTCGTAATCCGGATGATGGCGTGAAAAATTCGAGCCGCTTGCGTGGGTCGCGGGCGGCGGATAATAGTAGCCGTTCCACTCGGACTTCCAGCTGTCGTACGGATTGTACTTGCGCTCGTACGGATAGGCGGCGTCCACGAGGATCTTGTGCGACGACGACTCGAAGGTCTTGTCGTGGCCCCACGGGTCGCTCCACATCTCGTGCTGCAGCTGCGGCTGATGATGATACTGCTGCTGCTGTTGGTGATGATGTTGATGATGTTGATCGTGCTGACTACTGTGGTGGCCGGAGTGACCACCGCCGCCGTGATGTTTCTGCTGATAATCGTGATGGGCCAGCATGGCGGCGGGCGGCCTCGACGAGGGCGTGGGCGCCGGCGTGTTGTGATGGCTGCTCATCACGTTCTTCGTCATGCTGTCGTCGTAGATCGAGCTCAGGGCCGGCTTCAGCTTCGAGCCGTTCTGACGATTCACCTGTGTTTGTTTGCAATGAACAAAAGCCTATATAGAGAGGGGCGAAACTCCGATTTTCAATAAAAAGTTCTCTGCGTATCGGGATAACGAGTGCACACACAATGTAAAGCTTGCGAAACTTTATATTGTACTCGTATATCGCGACGGAAGAGAGAAAAAGGGATGATGTATCGAGAGAAATTTCGAAACTCACAACAATGATACCGAAGACAATGATGAACAGCAGACCGGTGACACCGACGACGATCACCGCTATGGCCCATTGTGGTATCAGTCTATTCTCGTCCTCGCTGACTTTGGGCGATGCTATCCTTGGTATAACTATATCGTGAAAACGCAATATAATAATCATTATACTGCGCGTTCGTAACGTATGTTTTTTATCATTTTCATTACTCACCGACGAAATCCGTGGATTTGGGATCGATGACGAACTTGCCGAGTTTGACGGGCGCCTTGACGGGCGTCACCTCCATCGGATTGTCGAAGTTGAAGGTCCTCAACGAGTCGTGGAATATGACCTTCAGCTGCTGAGTATTGATGCGCTCCTTCAAGTCCTCGAGCTCGACGAAGTAGTCGACGAGTACGCTGCCCGGACTATAGGTAAAACGAAAGGTTTCAATTTCATTTCTCTTCATCGCTCTTTATTTTTTTTGTATTTGATCGTTATACCTGAACGAGTCGATGCGTATCTTACGGAACCACTTCCTCAGTACCGGCGATTTCGCGAACACCAGGTTCATCTATACGAAAAAAGAAAACTCCAAGCAGTTTTAAAAATCGTCCTAATCAATACAAACTATCACTGAGAAAAAAAAATTCATTGATTCAATGAAAATTAAATTAAATACAATCTATGAAATAATTTCATTGAAATAATCTTTTTTTTCTTTAGTTTCATGAAATTTTGCGGTAAAAACAACTAAATATTTTGTTGGATGAAATAAAAAAAGATTATTTCAATGAAATTATTTCATAGATTATATTTAATTAAATTTTCATTGAATCAATGAATTTTTTTTCTCAGTATACCCAACGACGCTTTACCTCACGCTCGATCTCCTCGGCGAGCTCCTGCCACTCGATCGTGTTGCGATCCAGCAGCTCGGGCGCCCAGTTGGCGTTCTCGACGATCCTTATCGTGCCCGCGACCTCGCACTCGCCGTCGCACAGACCGGGCGTGGTCGGCCTCATCGTCGTCGTCGTCGTCGTCGTCGTGGTAGTCGTGCTGGTTGTGGTGCTGTCGATCTCACTCGTGATCGGCACGAGACCACCCGGCGCGGAGAGATCGCCGGCGGTGGCCGTGCGCGCCACCTCGAGCAGCTTGGCGATCGATATGGGAGTGGTCGAGGTCGTCGGCCAGCCGGTGAATTCCGTCGTTGCCCTGTTTTCATATAAAATAGTGTCGTAAATAGCAATATAAACTCGATGGGGGGTACCAAAGTTCTCGCTCTCGTTCTTGTACTCACCTCGTCGGCCAGCCCTTCTTTATGCTCGGCGTGCTTTGAACCGCGACCGGGGGCGTCGTCAGCTTGGCGGCCGGCGATTTGCGATGATTGCCACCAGGTCTGCGTGGATAGACTATCTTGGAATTGTTGCTGTTGCTGGGCTTGTCGCTCTCCGCGTCCACTTGTCCAGCCGCCGCCGCGTCGTTGCTCTCCTCGCTCTTCTTCAACGGCTTGACGGCGTCTGCGCGAGCACAAATATACGATATAAATATTTTCATTAAAATAATTAACGCGCGATATTCGATGGAGACTTACCGGGTTTGTAACCGGGCGGCAGAAGGGCCGAAACGTCGACGGCCGACTTGGCCAATATCTCGGCGAGCGGAATCTTTTCCACTATCAAGTCGTTGGTCCTGTTGGGGGACTTGGGCTCGGGCTTGTAACCGGGCGGCAGTAGGGCCGCGTCGATCGCCGCCGTCTTCACGAACAGATCTTCCAGAGGTGGCTTGGCTTTGGACGTGTCCTGACTGTTGCTGCCATTGCTGACTCTGCTGCTCTGCGAGACCGAGCTCGTCTGCGAGATCTTGGTGTTGTCGGGCCCGATGACCTTGCTCTTGAGCAGAATCTCCGTGAGTATCGAGGCCTTCTCCGTGGTGGCCTCCTCGGGCTTGAGCTTGTAGCCCGGCGGCAGGAAGGCGCTTATGTCGTCCTTGGTCGTCTGGACTTTTTTGCTCGTACTGGCGGTGCTCTTCTCCGTCGTACTCGTCGTCGTACTCGTCGTCGAAGTCGAACTGGTCGTTCTCGTGTTACTCGAAGCGGCGGCGGTGGTCTTGTACGAGCCGGGTCGTTTATAAGATCCTCGATAGCCACCCTTGGGATAGTCCTTGGGCAGGAAGGCCTCGACGTCCTCCAGCGTCGTCTGGAATTTCGGCCTCTTGGTACTCGTCGTCGTCGACGTCGTCGTCGTGGACGCCTGCCCGTAACGCGGGAAATCCTTGGGCAGGAAGGCCGAGACGTCCTCGATGGTGGTCTGGACCTTGGGGCGCTTCGTCGCCGTGGTGAAGCGTCCTCCGTTATTGTTGCCTTTCGGATAGTCCTTGGGCAGGAAGGCCGAGACGTCCTCGATGGTGGTCTGGACGCGCGGCCGCTTCGTGATCGCGGTGATGGTGATGGGCGGTATGGGCGAGGAGGTGGGCGCGATCGTGGACGTAGGCGGCAGGATCAGCGACGTAGTCGAGAACGGCTTCTTCTGGTATCTGCGCGGAACGAATCTAGAAAAAAACAATGATAAAGTCATTGACGACGCGTTGCTGCAGCTTTCGACGTATACAACTGGTAGTTATTTACAAGGATAATCAAGTGTCGTTTTCACCCGTGATTTTTGTTTTTCGCGCCTGCACGTATAGAATATAATGACAGCCTATAATCGTACATAGAAAATTGAACGGCTTTCACTCGGCCGTCAAAACGCGTATATGTATCACGCCATTTCCCACTAGGCATATAATAATATCGCAAAATAATAATGAAATATAAGGACCTTTTATACAGAACGATATCGACGTTAAACGTATTATAGCTGGCGCATCGCGTACTGCTTTTGTCGAGCAAATAGATCGGATCATAATTTAAATTGCCGAGGCGAGAATTGAGTCAACACGCTGCCGAGCCTCGCGTAAATATAATGCGCGAAGAGTTGCGTTGGATGCAGCAGGCGCCGCTGCGCTTCGGGCGCGCACCGTATTTATTGTGTATATTTAACAAAACCGTGAATTATCCGTCGTAATTCATTGTGCGCGCGCTCGAAATTATATATCGTATATGGCACCTCGAAGATACACGAATAAAAAATTCACGATTTATTGCCAGAGTATATATGGTACAGCATGGCAATTATAATATAATGGCGCATACCTTCCGTGGGCGAGAAAACCGCTGGACAGTTCCGACTGGACGCGATCGAGCTTATCGATGATGCTCTCGGTCGAGTCCGACGTCGGCTGCTGCGGCTGCTGCTCGGGCTGGTCTTTCTGCTCGTCCAGCTGCTTCTCCACTTGCGTCTCCTTCTTCTCGTCCTCCTCCTCGTCCTTGTCGGCCGTCGATTTTTCATCTTCGTCCACCTCCTCCTCCTCACTCTTCGCTTCATTGTTTTTATTGTTACTGTCCTGCTTGTCCTTGTCCTTCTGCTGCTGCTTGGTCAGCGGCTTGTCGAACTCGAAGATGGACGGGTAGGGCAGGAAGCGGGCGCCCGACACGCTGCGGCTGGTCTGCACCGAGGCCTGGATCGTCGACGACGGCGAGAACTCCGTGGTCGAGGTCAGACGGGCCGTCGTCGTCGTCGTGCTCGGCGGCGGCGTCGACGTCGTTGATTTCGTCGTCGTTGTCGTCGTCGTCGTCGTCGTCGTGGCTGGAAAATTTTAATCAAGTGAGTGATTGATCGATGGGTATAGAAAAAGAAAAAGAGGAATCGACGGAAAGAAAGTATAAGAGAGGAAGCTACGACCTAATTTCCCCTATCTCGTTATTCGCCTATACGTATTCTATATAGCTCCGATCTGTGCCACTGTACGCAGCGGACGAAAGACAATAAAGGGCGATGCGATATATTACTTCATCATCGATCGAATAGCCCAGATATCGGAGCGTATTGGAAAAAGATATCTAAATTGTATACCTTCTCTGGTGGTCGTCGTGCTCTTGCTCGTGGTATTCGGACTAGTCGGTGCCGCCGTCGTCGTCGTCGTTGTCGTGGTAGTAGACGTCGTAGCTGGCGTCGTTGCTTTCTTCGTCGTCGACGTCATGGTGCTCGTCGGCTGGGGCGACTCCGTGACCTCGGGCACCGAGTAGGTGCCGTTGACGACGCTCTTGGTCGTCACGACCGACACCACCTCGCCGATGAACTCTGACGACTCGTCGCTCGTTTGGACCGATCCGGTTTCGTTGCTTTCCTTCTGCGAGAGAGAGAAAGAGTATATGAAATCGTCGTCGTTACATGGGTTTTCCCCCAAAGTATAACGAAGCTTTACCTGAACTTTGTAAGAAAGCAGCGATCCATCGGCCGTCTTGTTATTATTATTATTGACAGTCGGCGATTTTTTATCATCGTCGACCTGCTGCTGGGGCTCGTCCTCGTACTCGTCGTCGTAGTAATAATCGTCGTCGTCGTAGAGCACCGGCGCCGATTGAGCCTTGGCCGCTCTCACCTCGGGTTTCAACGTCGTCGTCGTCGTCGTCGTCGTCGTCGTCGTACTCGTAGTCGTACTCGTCGTACTCGTACTCGTACTCGACGCAGCAGCAGGGGCTCCAGCTCCAGGAATCTCCTCGTCATCGTCGTAGTATTCGTACTCGACGTACTCGATCGACGAGTCTTGATCCTGCGTCACGACTTTCGGACTTTCATTTCTTTGCTGCTGCTGTTGTTGTTGCTGCTGCTGCTGCGGTTTGTTAACTAGATTATTGCTCGTTTGGTAGAGCAGGTTGCTCGGGTTTTGACGCAGAGCTGCGGCCGACGGCTGCGGTGACCAGCGTACATTGTTGCTGTTGCCATTGCCGTTGTAGTTGTTTATGCCTGGCGTGCAAAAAGATAAGAGATTGGAAAATATGAAATTGACATTCTTCGTACGTATATAATAGTTATAATGTAAAACTCGTTGTATAATTGCAGTTTACAGCGAACACGCGCACATACACGCAGACGCACACAAGGATATATGTAAAAGCGGATGTCCCAAGTGAAATTACGATATCAGAGCTCGAGTCGTGTTTACCGGAGCCCCGCTTTTCTCATGCACACTTTAATATACAGTACGTATAATCGGTTAATAAATCGGTCATCGTGCTGCGCGCAAGAAAGGCGGGTACGTATAGTAGTACGCCCTAATTGCCTCGCAAAGTGCACAGCAGCAGCAGCGTCAGCAGCACGAGAAAATATATTCAGCCGCGTGATATATACAACGGCGCACGTATATGTATACTGCAATGCATCCGTCGCGAGAAATCGAGTCGAGCGCGACGACGATCCGGACAAGTGTAAATTTCCATATATATACGTACGAACGATTTGCGTGTATGATATGACATATACGACGACGGTGACGTACGCGCTAAAATCGTACGGAGTGCGCCGCGGGAAACGGATCGAAATGAGGATCCGCGAACGATCTCTATACGATCGATTTCCCCCGAACGTTCGAAAGTTTATGTACTATATACGATATGCCTATTGTTTATCGCATCGAATTGCACGGGCTGAATTAGCCGCGGCTTTCGAAATTCCTCGAACGTAGCGTATATACATTTAAAAAAAATCGGATCGTAGCGCAGCGCCAAAAAATTGCGAGTGCATCGCATATATATCGGCACGTGCGTAACATACATACACGCATCGGTATGAAACTGCAATCATCGTCGTTCGGTAATTCATGTATATATCGAAGCATAAGAGTTTGTGTGCGCTCGATGCGCGTAATCGAGCGCGATGCGTTGCGTTGCGTATCGTGCCCTTGAGGCCGTCGAATTATTAAGGAGAAAAATAAGTCGGTCAGAGATAGCAGCAACGTAAAAAGCTCCTCTTCTTCTTCTTTTTCTTCATCTTCTTCTCTCTTCTGCGCTGCTCCTCCTCCCCGATGAATCCCAACGGGCAACGGTGCATCATAACAATTCTCTCTCTCTCTCTCTCTCTCTCTCTCTCGCGAGCACGTGTATGGCGTAATATGGTTCTCGATACACACACTCGCACACAGACACAATATCGCATTAAACCGCGCTTTATATCACGGGCTATATATATACGTAATAATCACGAAACAAAAAAATGCAGCTCGTGCGTGTCAGCGCACGCACACGCGGATGATTTTTACAGTTACGGTTGTGCGAGGGGGGCATAAGACAGCATCGATATACGTTTATTACATTACGTTTTTATACGAGCTGCATTCATCATCGTTCATTGCTATAAATGCGCAGAGTGCAATGCAGCCACAATATGTGCATTGAGACGCCTCGATCGGAATGATTCATCCGAGCACATGTGTGGTGATATAACTATAACGCGTGGGTGCAACGATCGATGCATCTGTATATAATAATATAAGTTAATGAATAATAGGAGGAAGCTTAAACTATGAGTATCTGTCTGTAATATATTCGATTTCTTAAGGAGAAATGGGCAACGCGGAGCGTGAATCGAATTCGAACTTGCGTACGATGATGATAATAATAATAATATTTCATCGCTCGACGACTGTCGCATGTCCCAGGAATGCCGGATATGTGCTGTAAAGAGAGAGAGAGAGAGAGTGAGATGCAAAGGCTGAGTCGTGGCTTGCGTAATAGTATAATGTATACGCGGGGCCGATCTGCGGACGGTACATAATGAGTGTACAGGAGAAAAATCGAATGAAAATTCAAGCGCTAAACGTCGAATCTTAATAACAATTTCCTTCCCCCGTTTTTTTTTTCAATTTACCGATCGACGACGTTAGTACAGTGGCTTATATAGACCACGCGATATGCTCGCGATCGACTCGCGACCTTCCCACAGTATACGATACAGAGACCCGAGAGTGAGGCCCTTTCACTGCTAATATTTCTTCCTTCGCTGCTGCTGCCGTTGTTGTTGCTGCTGCTGTCCATTACATTACCCACATAATATCACGAGGTCTATGCCTTTTTTTTTTTTTAATGGACGTAGGATAACAATACGTGCAGCAGCGGCGGCTCGAGCAATAATTCTGCACCCGCGCTCTAATCCCGTATACACGTATATAATAACAGCGATTATATTGTAGCCGAGCTCGTGTATGGTTTGCACAAAAATCGGCCGCATGATATCACGCGCTGCCCCGATGACTAATTTCCGAACGCCGAGAGTTCGTTAAAGCAGCTCTCGATGCAATAATGTCCAAGGGTGAACACGATAATACGGCGCGCCGCGGCTAATGTACTTTTTTTCCAATTTGCTATTTCTGAGTCAGGTCTAGTACTTGTGTTTTTGATTAGAATATATGCATATCGCTACCGGACGATACCGGTATAAGTCAATGCGTAATATCGCAGTGAATTGTACGATTGTGCAAAGATATTATAATACGAACGTGTGTCTGCGTCCGTCGATCGTTGCGCAATATTTATCCTGTGTATGTCGTTACTAAAAAAAATAATATTAAAAAAAAAAAAGTAAAGAAAGAAAGAGAAATAAAGTATGTATAATGTACGCGTACCGGCGAAAAATCTGCTTCTATCCGCTATATATACATACACTACGAGCGGTGTCGAAACTCGAGCTACCGCCGCTTCTACTGCTGCTGCTGCTGACTTTTTTTTTCGTTATCCTGCACCTAGATCGATATACATATTCGCGCGCGGTTCTCACAGTTTTATATTATTTATAATAGAGGTACGTACATATGAGAGTATTCGTTGTACGATTCGCGCGTATCGTTGGCTTTATGAAAATATTTTCACGGCCTCGCGCGAGCGGCTATACCTCGTAGTAGTGTTTGTATACTGATATATAAGCTTACAGCAAAGTACCTTCGGCCACTCCGAGCGATACAAGTACCTATATACGTAGTCTCTCTACACACGGATTTCCTTCGTATCTTTTCGGCATTTATTAATATCATTATTATACATTACGCATCGTGACCATGCATATACCCAAGCATTACACACACACACACACACACAGAGATGTAAAGAAGACGAGAGGTGGACGCGACAACGCGTCGTTCAAACGGTATAATACCCTTTTACACGGGGCCGCATCCTCGGACTCTCAAAGTTTAACGTTCGTCGTCGGTCGTCGTCGCCAATTTACCGTTATGTGCTTACATATACGTGTGTGTACTTGCAGACAGACGCCATCGGTCTCTCGCGAAAAACCACACGTTGCGGATCCGCACGACTGGTAAACTGTTATATATACATTGTGCGTTAGCTATGTCGGCTAGAAAACATTTAATAAATGGAAAAAGTTGGAGGAAATCCCGAGCGAGGAAGTTTCTCTCTCTTTATTTCCTCGGCCAAACGATACACGATATATATTTGAGGAGAAGATGAATTCCTCTAATGTGCGTTATTATGTGTATCTATGGTACGTAAGCACACACGCGTGTATATGCAAGGCACAAGGTGAAACGGACGCGATACGCCACACGATACGTGTAGTATAGTATGTATAATAATATAAGAAAGTATATCCATGGCCCCCGCGAGTTCCAGAAAGCAACTTGGCCGTGAACGGAAAAAAAGGGAGCTCGAGACGCGATACTATGAACTATATTGTGTTTTATAGTGTCCGAGAATTGAACGAAAAAAAAAACATTGTTGCGCCGATCGATCTTATCGAAACAATTTCTCCTTTTTTTTAATCTGGTGATTGTTATTGTGATCGCTGTTTGTAATTTGACGATCGTCAATGATGCAATTAGAGGCAGTTGGTGCTTTTATACATTATATATATTGTACCGAATCACGTAATTATAATAAAAGAATACGCGTCATGCAAGTTTATTACATAGCCGTACTACTGTTAATTCTTTCTCTCCTTCTTTCTTTTTTTTCATTTTCTCGAGGATCGACTCGCCATATCCACACCGAGTAATTCCTTTTAAATATGATTCATCGCGTTCGCAATTTCGCCTATATATCGTATATAGCCTAGTAGCAGGAGAAGATCGCGGTATTCGTTATCGCTCAAGAATTCGCTTTTCTCCGCACGATATAATAATTAATATTATAACATCGATCTCTCGCTCCGATGACGTCAACGACGACGACAACGCAACCGTAAAACCGCGATTGTTATTAAACTTATATCTATTTGTAAGCGATTGTTTGTACAATGGGAGGAAATTATCACCCGGTGGATTACGCGTATATATAATACAAATAACCATTGGTAATGCAGGGGGGATAATCCTTGTGTATACCGGATAATTATACGTATTTAGCCCTGTACCGCACGGACGACTATTATTGCCTATACATATTGCTTAACTCGTGCGCATTTTTCCGCTCCGCTCCGATCGATCGGTCACTATAACGCGCCGTATTGCGTTCGCTGCACGATAATATGCATACAATGCGCGGAGTTTGTGTGTATACACGCAATTTATGAGAGCTCTTGTGGCCGGCCAATTAGGCCGGTAGCGCGCCAGAACATACACACACGCACTCGCAGGAATTATGAATCAATGCGGGACACGGGCGAATTTCCAGTTTATACAAAGAGACGCAACTGCATTCGTAGCCTTTGTCTTTTCTCTCTCTTTATATCCATGTGTGTATCCCTAAGAAAAGGCCAAACATTGCCTGTATGACTGCATACACACATATACACATGAAACACCCTCGCACCGCGGAGTACAGTGTGTGCCGCGATTTTTCTCTCGTGACGCGCGTTTGCCTATTATAGTGCAGCGGCAGCAACAGCTGAGAAACGTTGCGCAAGCCGATCCTATTGTCGTTTTGTGCAACGATCGGTGGTGCGCGCCTGTGGCATTATATACCACGGTATATATGTATTCGACCTATGCAGCGTTGTGCACAATATCGCGTGTACAC